CCATGCACAATACCTTGAAGCAGTGCATTCGAATGGAAGTAGTCTTGGCGCGCTGCTCGCTCTCTAGAATCATGTAAACAGGTCTAGTAAGGAGCCCGATAAATGTGTCTCTCTCGCTGGTTGTTAAGAAGATCTTTGACAATTTCTGCTTCAGGACCTTGCACATGATCTCCAATGATGCCTGTAGCTGTGTCGCCGAGTCCCACGTATCCTCCTTGGATGCTCCTTTCTTGGGCTTGCCGCGACCGCGCGCGGCCGGAGCCGTTGATGATTTCTCAGCGGCCTTTGTCTCGACAGCAGCAATGGTCCATTGTAATAAAAAGCCGTAAATTTCAAGAAGTTGCTTGTGATGAGGCACGGAATCCTGCTCGTCCGATGTGTCCATATCGTTGTACATGTAGTCGCATTCGGCACTCAGTCCACTCATAACTAGGTCGAATATTTTACTCAAGGCATGTGTCGGCAGAAATGAAGTGTATCTGTGTCAGAGTTCATATCAGCATGGAGTCCAGGTTTCAAGGAGTACACTTGCTCACTTGAGGAGGAACTGCAGTGAGTCCATATTTGATGCCCGCAGGATGGCGTCCGGATCATGAGCAACGGCATCGACGATCGGATTTAGCACCGGGTTGATGACAGGGTTTGTGAGCGACTCGGGGTCATTTTCGCAGTCAAATAAGGCGCTGTCGGCCTCTGGCGTGGGTATTGTGGTAGGGTCGGACATGTAATGCTTGAGCGCATCGTTGATATCGAAGCTGATTGTTGCCATGATGGGCACCTGTGTCGCCTTCGAGGCGGGGGAAAGGGCGCACGCGCAGAACGAAAACGGATCAAGGGAGCTGGAATGGGTAAAGAGCTAAATTGTTAGTATTACAATCTCAACAAGCGAGCAATCAGCTCTTCATGCTCGTCGCTCAAAAGCGTTGCTGTTGGTCATAAAGGCTGATGATTGTCTGGTTGCGATTCCAGCTTGCGTCCCTCAGCAACGGCTGAATGTTTTTGTTTTGTTTAATGACCAAGACGCGCAGCTCCACGTTCAGCCCACAACGGAACCCCACATGCGCACGCTTATGTACACTTATGCTTGATTGTGCCCGTTTTATGCACACCGGTAGCTATCACGGCCACGCTAGTGGCGCGTTTAACCAATCAACTTGATGCTTGCTCAGAAACACGCTCGTCCAGACCAGCAGCCCCAAGCCCCTCCACAACCAGAAGCAGAGCGGTGGATTATTAACAACGAACCGGGCTGTTGCAGATTGACTTGCATGTCTATGAATCAATTGCTTTCCCTTGATTGCCTTGGTCGCCGGTCATGTGTGCTGTCAATTGATTCGCTTTAGACTTGTCGTACTTTGCCCTTCCCTGAAATAGACAAAGGGTGTCTCAAGCAAGGCTCTTTTGGCAACAACACATTGTGTCTCTATCGCGAATACCGGCCGGCGACAAATCCATGGGCGAACCTGGCATCATGGCTGCCGCACTAGGACGTCCAAGGGCAGAGGATCCTTTTGACATTCACGAAGATGCGCGTACCGAAGAGACCGAAATGATGGTTGAAGATGATGTTGCCGGAGCTGCTGCAACAGACGAGGTAATGGAGGAAGACGTCGAAGAGGAAGAAGAAGAGGAGGAAGAGGAAGAAGGCTCGGACGATGAGCGTGTTGAAAGGAGTGTACAAGCCGACATGGACAAGCTGGCTAATGACTTTCCTGGCTTTCGTGGAAAATACCGCCTAATCAAGAGGATTGGCGAGGGTATGTATTGCAATTCCATCACGAAACATTGTCTTCATTGACATGTCAAACAAACTCTAACCCGCCCGAAACTCTATAGGAACTTTCTCTACCGTATACAAAGCAGAAGATGTCCAGTACGATAGATACGACAACAGTTGGGACTTTGATGATGACTCGTCAAAATGGACGCCTCCACCTCTCAAAAGACACGCCAGCCAAGCATCATCGGAGCGCTCCCAACGGCGGCGTGCACGATTTGTTGCAATTAAAAAGATTTACGTCACATCAAGTCCGGCGCGTATTCTGAACGAGCTCGAACTCCTCCATGACCTGCGGCAATGCCCCTCTGTCTGCCCTCTCATCACAGCGTTCCGAAACACGGACCAGGTGGTTGCCATCCTGCCCTACTTCCGACACGGTGATTTCAGGGCATACTTCCGAGATATGACGACACCAGATATTGCCATTTATCTGCGATCCCTATTTACGGCATTGAAAAGCGTCCACCAGGCCAAGATACTTCACAGAGATATTAAACCGACCAACTTCTTGTATGACCCAGCTACCCAGCATGGTGTGTTGGTCGATTTTGGGTTAGCAGAACGCGAGGGATCTGATTGTAAACCTTGCCTCTGCCACGAACATCGCGAAACGCGCAAGCATCGTCAAGCCTCTTCCGCATGGGCTCAGATGGCAACGACTTCACAACCCGGCTATCCTAATTCAGACACTCGATTGTCCAAGCGTGCCAATCGCGCTGGCACACGAGGATTTCGCGCGCCTGAAGTTTTATTCAAATGCACCGAACAGACCACCGCGATCGACATCTGGTCTGCCGGCGTCATTCTTCTTACCATCCTGTCAAAACGATTTCCCTTTTTTAACTCGGCTGATGACGTAGAAGCCATGATTGAAATAGCAACCATCTTTGGCTCAAAGCGCATGAAAGCCGCAGGACTACTCCACGGATGTGTTTTTGAAACCAACATTCCTACAATAGGCCAGCAAGGCTTTACAATGGAGAAGATTATCCTGTGGAGCACATGTCGTACAAATGATAAGCCCCTGACACCCGATGAAAAGCTGGCCGTGCGATTTTTGGAACGGTGCATGGATTTGGATCCCTCAAGAAGAATCACAGCTGAACAGGCTTTGCACCATGAGTTTTTGAATATTGACCAACCCCAGAGTCAGGAACTCGGTGACGAGGATGAGGTTGACATGTTGGCGGCGTAAGGTTGGGCTTTCGTGGCGCTGGGGTCTTGTGTTTGCGATACCAGGTATTTTATTTTATCAACCAACGGTACACGGCACCAATCTATGTAATATTGAGCATTTCTGGGGCGTTTAGAAATTCATCATTGGCGTCATGAGCTGGCGGGGTCTCGATTGCTCGGCGTTAGATCTGTTGAGAGGCATACAGGAAATTAATACATGTACATGCTGAAAATGGGCACAACAGAGACTTCATCCAATTCAGTAAATAGTGCGTGTTGCTGGAGTGATGTTTTAACCAGACAAGACGACAGGCTATTGGCTTCGCCAAAGACAAGGCCTCATTACCACGTGGGCCTGCTCAGAGATCATGTCACAACAAGGAAGCCAAAATTCCATTATGCATGGGCGAAAAATCGAATTTTATTCGTCAAAACTCCATGTCACGAGTCCCCTGATGCAATGCGATCGAAACCGACCCGACCCTGGGTCCCCGATTCCCAAATTTTCTTCAGCTCCCGGCATACAGCTTTCATATCTGGCGTTGTTCAACACCCCACTCGCCAAAAACAAGATGTTGTTTCTTGCTCTAAAACTGGTTTCCCGTTGGTTCCCAGACTCCCATGACCATTTTCCCGTAAAAAGCACGGAGCGTGAAAAATGCTTTTTTAGAAAACGTGGAAACCAAAAAAAATAGAAGAGAGAAATTGTGGTTGTATTTTCTTTTCTATTTGTTTCGTCGCGGACATTTAAGCAACCAGCTCGACAACACCACCGGCCTCGTTGATCTTCTTCTCAGCCAGCTTGCTGACCCATCTTGCGCGGACAACCAGAGGAATCTCGGGGAGACGGCCCTTGCCGAGGACCTTGGAGTAGCCGAGAGGGAGGAGGTCGAGGACGGGGACGGTGTCCTTCTTGGCGCCGGAGACGTAGGCATCGCGGGTCTCAATGGGGACGAGAGTCCACAGCTGCGAGTTTGTTAGCATTTTCTGAGGGTCAAGAAATGGGCATATCGCGAGGGAAAGAATTCGTCTTTGTGCTGACTGTCGATTGCGGCGCTTGGCGTTGTCGGTCGCTGTTTCATTCAACTCCCTTCAATGCCAGCTGGGATGCTCATCCCCCGCATCGACGTCGCCCAAAGATCAAATTGTATCGCGTGAAGCAAGAGGAGTTGTATGTACCTTGTCCAGGTTGATCACGGGCTTCCAGAAGTGGTTCTGCTGCTTGTGGAAGTATCGCATACCAACCTTACCGAAGTAACCGGGATGGTACTGTCAAAAGTGAGTTAGCAATCGTCGCTTTCTTTCGCTCATCGGGTCGGGAATCTCGAGGTTATCGAACCTTGTCCATGTTGGTACGGTGGTGGTGCTGACCACCAGCCAGACCACGACCACCGGGATGCTTGCGGTGCTTGCCAACACGACCGTGGCCGTGAGAGACGTGGCCGCGACTGTGAAGCAAAAGCTGTTAGTATTCCTGATTGTCCCTGATCCATCTTCATCCACGTTCCGCCAAGGAGATTTTCTGTCAACAAACGACACTGGCACCCAATGACGATTGTCAAGGCGTCCAATTCTCTCCAGATCGAAATATGTCTCATAGGAAGAGTGTATTCACGTACAGCTTGCGGGTCTTCGAAGTTCGGGTAGGCATGGCGACGGTTGTGGTGTTGTCGCTTTCCGATGGTTTGTCGTCGAAGACTGAGAGTAGGTGGTGATGATTTTGCGCCTACTCAGGTTCCTGGCTGCATGGGACCCAGAAAATTGTTAGCGAGAGGGCAATTTAGCCCTAACATCATTTGTGTGGTGCGGTGTGGGCTTTCGTGGCTGGAAGTGGGCCTCTTCCGTATCAGGTGACTTCGTGGTCTCACCGTGGAGACGCTTTGAAGCTGACCCCACTAATGACAAAAGGGACAAGGGGCACTGGTTCGTATCCAAGAACTGGGCTCTTCATCCAAAGACGCGTTGCGGCCGTCGCCATCAGGTGTAGATGACGACAGTGCTATTATGAATCTCTCCCCGGCCGAGACTGATGAGATGAGCCATCATGGCTTCTGCCGCCACCACCAGTGTAGATGACGCTACGCGCCATCTGGAGAAGCTGGATTTCCACCATCCATACACTCCATACGCTGTCCAAGAACAGTTTATGAGGACTGTATATGACGTTTTAGACAAGGGTGAAGGTCAAGTTGGTATCTTGGAAAGCCCAACAGGCACTGTATGTGACACATTCCCATCGTTGGTCGGAATTGCTTGTACATGGGCTCTCTCATGACCATGACACGCCGAGCCACTCACATTTTGCAGGGTAAATCCCTTTCATTAATCTGCGCCTCACTTACCTGGCTTCGAAACTTCAAGTCCAACAAACTTGAGGTATCGATGCAAAATGCGGGAGATGCTTATAAAGACGAACCGGCGTGGCTCGTCGACCAACTACTACGGCGAAAACGCGAGGAGCTGGTTCAGAGGTGGGAAGATCGTGAGAAGCGTCTCGAAGCCATCCGGTTAAAGGAAAAAGCACTTGAAGACCGGGGCCGTAAGCGCCGCCGCCTCGAGGAAGCAATCACTCCTGGTGATGGCAATGACATGGATGCTGATGAGGCCGAATGGCTACTAGATGACTGGGGGGATCGCGACACAGGTGTCCAAGATGCCCTGTCCGGCTTAAGTAAAGAGTCGCGTGAGGTGTTAGAGCGCATCGGCCTTGGTGCTCCTCGAAAGAGAGAAGAGGACAATGATATTCTAGAAGAAGAGATCAAGGTGCGAGGAGTGCTTTTCCACACGGCCACTTTGAAGATGCCCTTAGTGACCGTCTGTAGATCTATTATACATCTAGAACACACTCGCAACTGTCGCAATTCATTACGGAACTGCGCCGCCCAAAGTTTCCTTCATCACTGCCGACTTCTCTCGCAGAGAAAAAGTCGTCTGTCGAAGAGACGGTCAAACTACTCCCGCTGTCTTCTCGACAAAGGTTGTGTATCAACCCGTCCGTCGCGCGACTCGGATCAGTGCAGGCCATCAATGATCGCTGTGCTGAGCTCCAGCAGTCGAAGTCTGCCAAGAAATGCCCGTATGTTCCAAAAGAGGAGCTCCTGAGCCAAACACATCACTTTCGCGATTCGGCTTTGGCTACTGTCCCGGACATTGAAGATTTGCATCAGCTTGGCAAGTCTTTGGCCGTGTGTCCATACTATGCATCCCGGTCGGCACTACCTGGTGCGGAAATCATCACTCTGCCATATCCCCTCCTGCTTCAAAGAAGTGCCCGGGAGGCGCTGGGGATCAAGTTGGAGGGGAATGTTGTCATCATTGATGAGGCACACAATGTGATGGATGCCGTTGCTAATGTACATGCTGCAGAGATCAAACTCAGTGACCTTCACAAAGGGCGAGGGATGCTAGGAATTTATGTGAAGCGGTTTGGCAAGAAGCTCAAAGGTGTCAACCGTGTTAATGTGGGAAGAGTCGGGCGAGTGATTGATGGCTTGACCGAGTGGATGAATGGGGCAAAAGGCTTCAAGGTACGTTCTCTCTCGCGCACTATGTCAAACGTGGCAGCTAATTCCAAGACAGCAGCAGCACGGAATCGTGGACGCAAACGACTTGACTCGACCGAAGGGCATCGACCAGATCAACATGTTTGAGCTTATTCAGTACATCCAAGAGTCCAAACTGGCATACAAGATTGAGAGCTACGCAGCACATGTCGAGAGCGAAAACGACTCGGGCAAGCCGGGGACGAAGTCGAGCACACCAGTCCTGCATACTCTGGTCTCGTTCCTTGTAGCCCTTACAAACCCGAGCTCCGAGGGCCGAATATTCTACCAGAAGACCAGTGGACCGGTCCAAGACGTTCAGCTTTCGTACCTGTTGCTCTCTCCAACGCATGCATTCTCATCTATTGTGTCCAGCGCGCGCGCGGTCATACTGGCAGGAGGCACCATGTCGCCCTTCGACGACTACAAGAACCATCTTTTCCCAGCGCTCGCTGACCCCAAAGTAACCACCTTGAGCTGCGGACATGTAATACCACGCGAAAACCTGTGTGTCTGGACGTTAACGGGGACTCGTCCAGGTGGCTCAAGCTTTGAATTCAGCTACCAGCGTCGAGGGGACGAGGAAATGGTCAAGGAGCTGGGCCTGGCAATACTGAATATCTGCTCAGTTGTCCCCGACGGCGTCGTGGTCTTCTTCCCAAGCTACGGATATCTTGAAGAAGTCGTCGCAGCGTGGAGTCGACGAGCCTCGGGAGACAAGAACCCCCAAACAACCATTTGGGACCGTTTGCAAACTCGAAAAAAGGTTTTTCGCGAAACAAAAGGCTGCTCCAGCGACGAGGTCCTCCAAGAGTATTCGCAAGTGATCCTCGGGAATGGGGGAAGCACCACGGGTCCGGTGAAAGGCAAAGGCGGCGCACTCCTCCTCAGTGTTGTGGGAGGGAAAATGTCCGAAGGCATCAACTTCTCGGATCGCTTGGGCCGATGCGTCATGGTCGTCGGCCTGCCATACCCGAATATTGCATCGCCGGAGTGGAAAGCCAAGATGGACTATATTGAATCGACTACGCTGGCAAATCTACAAGACGGTAGGCGTGACGCTGGCTCCAAGCTAACCAAGGATGAAGCTGCGGCACGAGCTAAGCAGGCCGCGAGAGACTTCTACGAAAACGCGTGTATGCGGGCCGTCAACCAGAGTATTGGCCGCGCGATTCGTCACAAAGGCGACTATGCGGCGATTGTACTGGTCGATAGGAGGTATGCCACCGAACGAATCCAGGGCAAACTGCCAGGATGGATTCGAAGTGGGATGGATGCGCGTGGTAGTGGCGGCGATGGGAAGGCTTCGATGAATATGCTGGGGGGCTTGATGGGGAGTTTGGGGGGGTTTTTTCGGGATAAGCAGCGGGAGTAATTGGCAGCCTCGCTGACAAGTGTAACAGTGGATTCCAAGACAAAATACGGCTGTGTGAGGTGCGTCGTCGCGGACGGTCTTCTGGGATTGGTCGGGTGTATTGCCCTGGTGGCTGGCAGTGGCATTTTTATTCATGCCGACCGAAGATATGACCTGTGGACATGCAGAAAACGACTATGCAAGCGCAAAATAAAGATGCCTGGATCTATCCATCCTCCCCCAGGGTAAGTAGTTTAGGTCGAGTGAATACGCCCTCTTGTAACACTAGTGTCCACCGCAGGGCGCGAGTCCATCGTGAGTCATGGGGAAGATGTCAGGATCCAGCCACCGAGAAACGTCAAGCTATTTACTGTTTTATTCCGAAATAGCAACCAACTTTAGTATCACCCACCAATGCCTCATGGAAACAAACAAAAATAAAAAGAAATGTCAAGTACAATCACAACCGTGCAGCCGATCGCGGTGTCTGAGCCAACGAGCCATGACGACATTCGACTTGCAAGGCTGGAGGATCACGACGAACACGACACAACCCCCATGCGGTTGAGCGACAACGACACCAACTGGGATACCAAGGAAGGCTGGGTGGTGGTGGCTGCCGGATCAGCCATCTTCTTCGTCTTCCTTGGCTTGATTTATTCCTATGGCATCGTGCAGCTTCACCTCACCGAGTCACGCCTCGCCAGCATCTCGACACTGTCCTTCATCGGCTCAGTCGGGGCAGCCATGTCGCCGCTTACCGGCATGATTGTAGCCAGAATCATCAAGCTTGCGGGCTACAGGGTCACTGCCCTCATCGGAAGCCTATTCCTAGGCCTTGGCGAGTTCACCGCAGGCTGGTCCACCAAGTCGGTGCCCGCCATGTTTGTCACCCAAGGCTTCTTGTTTGGCATAGGCTCCGCCTTGTTATTTCTGGTAAGGAGTCTTTTCCAGTCTCACCTCCTGATGCCATGTGACTCTGATGGGCTGATTCTGCTCGCAGCCTGCGGCCACGGTGCCATCGCTGTGGTTCAAGAGGAAGCGAGGTTTGGCGACCGGTGTTGTCTTTGGCGGCGCTGGAATCGGATCTGCCGTCATCTCCGTCTCCATGGAAAAGCTGATTGGGGTCGTGGGGCTCGAGTCGGCTTTGAAGATTCTCGGAGCTCTTGCGTGGGCAATTTGCATCACGGCGTCGTACTTCCTGAGAGCCCCTGCTGGACGTGGACGCGCCGTGTCAAGCGTCCAATGGTAGGTTCACCGGGCCGGAGAAGGCATACATATGGTTTGGGGCGTATGGTACTGACGCGGGACACAGGCGTCTTTTCCGCAGCGTCAAGTTTAACATGATGCTCGTCATGGGAGCAATTGCCACGTTTCCTCTATTCGTGCCCCCCTTCCTGCTCCCACTTTACGTGGCGAATATGGGATTCTCTGGCCAGGCCGCCGCTGCCATTCTTGCATGCTGGAACATTGCCTCTGCTCTGGGCCGTATTGGCATGGGCTTTGGGGCAGACGCTTATCTCGGCCCTGTAAACAGCTTGCTCATCTCGCTCACTGTCATTGGTGTCAGCGCAATGGCACTCTGGCCGTTTGCGTCTTCACTGGGGCTTCTGGTCTTTTTCGCCGTCTTGAACGGGATCGGTTCTGGTGGCTTCTTCAGTCTGATGCCTGTGGTGGTCGGAGCGGTTTTCGGGGACGGCCAACTTGCCAATGTCATGTCTATGCTGACAACTTCATGGACTTTTGGGTACTTTATGGTAAGAGCAAAAATATACGCCCAGTATATACTTTCTATAAGGAGTGAGCTGATAATAGGTGCTTAGGGATCGCCTATCGCTGGGTACTTGTTGGATGCGTATGGTGGCGCGGAGGCTGGGCTCGCCGCGTTTCGGCCCACGTTCTTTTACGCTGGGTCCTTGACACTTGCAAGCGCAGGTTTAATTTTGGCAGTCCGCTTGATGATGAACAGGAAGATATTTGCTAGAGTGTAGTGTTTGCCTGGCGCTTGTGAAGCGCTTCATTGGATGATGGTATAGACCACCACATCGCGTTGTACATCTCGTTGGAGCCAAAAATGGGTTTATAGAAAAAACCTGGAATATTTGAAGTTTTGGTTTATTTTTCTGCCGCAAACGCTGTACTCAATGGATAGATTCGTTGTCTGGCGACAAAATGTCTAATGTGATAGACTGTGTGAGGGGCGTTAAATCTAGCTGAGTGATATCGGATAAAACCGACTGATCAGGGGACCACAATAGCTTGAATAAAAGACACTTCCCAGCCAGTATGACTATAGCTCTGGTGAAGAGATTAGATGTTAGTTCAAGTATATTGGGCTTCAGCATATATATATTGGACTGTAGCTTGGTATGAAGTCTTCTGGAGGTGCATTTAGCCGACTGACTACATCAGAGGCCCTCGACTTCCAATAGACGTCTACCGGCGCAACCAGTCAAGCAGACTTAGCAGGCAAAGAAACTTGTCGACACACCGGTTACACAGCAGACATGCAACAGGTGTGTCGTCCTCGTCCCCGCATCCAGAACCCAAGCCCATGACGACACTCTCGAGAGCCACAAAATTCGCCACCCAATATTGAAGCAGCATCTGCACCGGAATGCCAGAGGCCACAGAGGGAGCAGTGGCGTCCCAGCTTGTATACCGACACTACGTGGTGTGACACCTCTGACGCTCAAGTATATAGTTGTCACATGTTTTTGGCCACCGCCAGTCTCCCAAGGTGTCGTCCTGGCTCATGTACAACTGGCGAACATACCTCTCCCACAAAAACAGCTCCGTCTGTACTTTTCCATCAAATAGTCACGGTCTCCATCAACATCACCATGATTATCATTCCCAGAGCCTCCGTCCGTCTTGTACGGAACCACATCCGCCCGGCGGCGATTGCGGCGCCACGCGGCTTCTCCGGAACAGCTCGCCGGCAGACGTACGAAGACGACGCCAGCGGTCAAGAGCTTCCGCCTTCTAAATCCAATCTCTCAGAAACCCTTCGTCGGAATTGGTTCGTTTCTTGCTTATCGCTTGGGGAAACCGTAGAGACGAAGCGCTTACATGGTATTCTAGGGTTCCAATCGGCGGCACCATACTCTTCTTAGGGGTTGCCTACGCGTATTTCTCCTCCCCCAGCCCCAACAAAGCCACGGAGAAGGGCAAGCTATCCGAATCGGAGGCCAAAACATCGAAATAGTTTGCGAATCAAGGGTCTGCTTCCGGTGCGGGGGGTGCCGTTCATTCGACCGGCAGGACTAGCTACAAGCTACGAATTTGGTATTGGATGGGATAGCAATGTATTTGATCTGTGGGAATCGCCCATGTAATTTCACGTGTCGGATTCTGGAGGAAGTGCTCCAGAAAAGATGGTGTATCAGGGTATCGATGATGCCAAGCTGAACCAGATTGCAATATCTGAAACGAAAGTTGTATTTTAGAGTGCTGTATTAACATAATTATCATCTTAATCGAGGTCTGGATAGAAAATATTAGTGGAATCAAATCTGTGACTGCTATTTCTTATCTTTGCGGAATTCCTTGGTACCGACTGAAATGTCCAAGCAGCACCAGGCATGGTACGAGTCATCCGCGAGGTATAAGCTTAAAATTGGTATATATTCTCTGGATAAATCAGAGTTTAATAGAAGCATTCTAGTTTTTTTACTGTACGTACTGTGTGTGAAGTTATGCAATTGATACGCATAGAGCCTTGTGATTGCTTCGTGAAGCGCTGCGAAACACGAAATTGGCTCGCCCTATCTATCCATACAGCTCATGCTATAATTCGTAATTCGTGCTGGCTAATACGCAATCATGCCTCTATCCCACCTAGACATAGAAAATGCCGGTCTATCTGGTTTCAATTACATCTAAATTGTCTGTATAGCCTTGTCGAAACAACAGGTCTTGACTTCAACACATGTTGAACTTTACCAGCCCAGAAGTTGGCAAATTCGCAGTCTCGGTGGCCATGATGAACCACAACAGCCAGCTTGGAGTAAAATTCTACCGCGCTCTCTCTCACAGCGGTAGCCTCTGACAACGGCCACATATTGACCGCTTTGAGGGAAGACTGGATGGACTCGTACGTTACATGTCGGCATCTAGGCAGACTCGGCTGTGCCGTATAGCGAGACCACCTTGGGCTTTGATCCATGACAAATAGCTTTTCCATCATGTCCCGAAGAATGTCCGTTATAAAAGAAAGGAATTCTGTTCGAATACCGGCTACAGTGTCTGCAAGGTAATTAGCTTGACAAGACTGGCATGCAAAGTTTTAGCAATGGTGCAACTTGCATACCAAGAACACCTGTTGTCTTTGACGACACCCAAAGTTGGCGGACACTCTGAAGCTCAGTGGTATCTAATTCCATTGCCATTCTGTGAGCCATGTCGGTAAAAGCAGTCTCTTTTCCAAGTTCCCAAAATATCCAGAGCAATTTTGCCAAGTTCAATCCACGAGCAGGACTTTCGATGAGGGATATCCACGAGTCAGCCCAAGGGTCTAAAAGACCGGTACTTTGATAGCAGTGCGTCAGTGCGGTTAGGTTGTACAGCTGACTGATGCTGAGCTTTCGGGGTATTTCGAGGAAACGCCCATGCGCGATGTTGAGAAATAGTGTCAGGGAGTCGTCGTCGCCAGCGGGAAGCTCGATTTCCAAGCAATGCAACCGAGGAGATGTAGTATTTTCGGCTGACAACCATTCTTGAAGCTTGACGTGTAAAACTGGCGAGGCTCGAGCTAGAGCCCGAGAACAGACGAGGCGTGCCTTGGCCTCGAGGCCGCAAGGTCTTTTCACTTGTATTTTGGTGTCTCCGAGGTCATCAAATACGATGTTTGGTTCACACATTCCAAAGATGTCGAATGCCCTTCAGGCCGCGCGTTGCTGTTTGTCTGCCTGTTTGATATTAGATGACTTATTTCCATTGTGCTACCAGTGGGTTTAAAGACGACACTCGCACGCAGGGCAAAATATATTGACATGACATTTCCCAAGTGCGCTGGAAATCCATGCCACAGTGGGATCCAAACTAGAGATGAAACCAGTTTCCTTGGTCACATTAATAAGCTGATAAGAGGCTGTGAGCAGGCATGTATTCTGCTAAGCCGTGTTGCAGCCAGCAAGTGCTTCGTACATGTGGAGCGTTGGAGCTCGTATCCGGGCATGCGCCACACGAACGATTCGATTTAGGTTTATGAGCTCGATATAGTTATATGCTTGCTGAATAATTATACGGCCTAGAGGTGGCGGAGCAAGGTCTCCATGGAACACAGGCAGTGTTCAGGCGACCAAGATTTCTCTGCTTTGCCATCGCCGCACAAAGACTTGCGTCGTACTGACGCTGAATATAGCGGCAGACATATTGAGGGCCTTGTATTGACGACTTTAATACGGGCTTTCAGTCTACTTGCTGAAATATCGCCTTGATCTTTTGCATTCCTCAACATGTCCCACAAGACTGTTACATTGGATCGATATGGCGACACCCAACTTCGCATTGGTCTTGACCACTCAGAGGAACCAGTCGTCTTCACTGCTTGCTCGCGGGCCTTGTCTCGCTCCTCGTCCATCTTTCGCAGCATGTTGTACGGTGACACGGTCGGAAACGAACCAGAAATTATTTCAAGACGAGAAAACCAAATCATTGACGTGCACCATGATACGCTTGTCCCCATGACCACCCTGCTGTGCATTATTCACTCTAAATTCGACCAGGTACCACCAGCACTGTCTGTTGATGAATTATATGATCTGGTCGTCGTTGCACGTAAATACGACATGATGACTGCTTTGAGGCCTTGGACCGCCAAATGGACCAAGATTTTGGGCACCAACACGCAATCCACCCAAGAGGAAATCACAAAGGCATTGTGGATTTACTGGGAGCTGGGCCAGAGGGATGCATTCTACCTGGCAGTTCGTCGGTTGACGGTGGAATCTAGAGCACCCGTAAATTCATGTCCCGATGGGCTACAGACACCGCCAGGCATCGCAGGTGAGTATCAAGAGTTGACGGCGCTGCGGTTCCTTGTGCTTTCACCCGCTCATGTATAGATAGAACACATTTCTTCCTTTAGATTGCAGACCATACAATCGCTTATCCAAGTTTTCCGGGAGATGATACAGAAACTACTTGTTGTGGATGAGCAGCCACGTTGGTGCCGTCATGCAGCTTGGCTGGGTCCACACCGTTGCGAGTCCATGATACTAGGATCTCTGACCTTTTGCCTGTGTAGAGCTGGATTATGGCCATTGCCGGACGCAATTCATGTCAAGGACAGTATATTGGAGTTGTATACGAAATTGAAGACTGTCGTTATTCATGACATTGGTCAAACAACAGATGATCCTCGACGAAACCATCAAGATTGCAACCCGAGACAATATCTCTCAGAAGCAGTGGAACAAGTCATGAATAGAATACCGAATGGGAGGATCGAATGTTGCGATGATCACTTTCAGGACTGGGCAAATGATATTGACAAAAGAAATGAGACATCTTCCGAGAGTGAATGACTCGACAGCAAGTATTGATGAAATAGGTTCGACGTTTGGAAGACAATCTCACTAGCTCTACAGAGTATGTAATATCTAGACGATCCCTATTTGGGTCTTAAACTAGGCTATTAGAATCTTGCCGAGTCCCCTGTATTTTCTTTCACGGTCCCAGATATTACATTATTGAGCAGTCTATCTGATGGTGAGAAAAGCTGATTGGTGTTTTGAGTTGGGAGAATGAATTTACGTACCTTTTGTAGATGAACCCAGCAAACAACGTAGATGCAATTGGTTCTGGCGCTGGTATCCGTCACACAGCCGCCCTCCCCGTAATCCGTGAACCAAGGGGTGCCAGTGCAGTCTCTACTCTCATAGAAACGCGTGTGGAATCCATCCGCATCTATAAGATTGATGCTATGGATGCCACGGAAAACCGGAAGTCGATTGGCTCCGCAAGCCAGAGTACCACGTCCGACGATGTTTCCAGTACAGCGGTCACCCGGCCAGTACTCAAAGTTCTCCGCCGATGCCGCGGCGACAAGACCAAGAAGAGCCAAGGTAGAGGACTTCACCATGGTAGGGTTTGTGTGTAGAGGTAAATGCTAGTATGGTTGGAAGGGCTTGGTAGCTTCTGTTCAATCCTGAACGTGAGAGAGATCGGGGTCTTTTATAGTTTTTTGATGGCCGGATACTGCTACTCAAACGCGTATTCTCACCAGGAATACGAAGCCGCGTTTTCATATCGGATGTGACTACATATACGATGAGGTAACACGCGACCACTCAAAACGCTGTGGGAGAAACTCATCCCTAGGTTGAAGGTCCGTAGCCAGGACACTTGTCCTTGGGCGTCTTACAGGTGATAGTTTCAAAAGATGGTCCAATACCACCTCGGTTTTCTAAGACAAGTGACAACTCAGGAAACACAGAGTAATATGTCACATTGACGTATTCAATTAAAGCAGTAAAGTTTGTATGCCTTTTGGGAGACTCGATTTCCCATCGGGCAGGACATGCCGATTGAAAACATACGGAGGCTACATCATCCACAAAGGAGACCCAGGTAGTCCGCCAGTATGAACCCGACTTTGGTCTCGCCGTGCCTGTAGCTGATAAACAACTTTGCCCGTAGATGTTGACTTGCAATAGAAAAGACATGTCTAGAATAGATGCCAACATCTCTTTCCGCTCCATTGCTGACACCTATCCGTACGTTTCGCCCGCACACGATGCCGTTTTCGTTTTAAATCGACAAAAGCGGTCATGGTACTGAGACGATGCAACCTTCATGCATTGCCATGTCCTCAGCTCCAGCACAGCTGGGCAACGTCGTGCCGGAATCGTGTTCCGTATGATTATATGCTGTGCCGCCACACCCTCAACCTCCCCTCTCCTCTTTTGCGATGTGATTGAACAGTGAGTCTTGTGGCCGCAATATTGGTTCCAAAGTATTGGGCATTTCCAAGCATCCAACAAAAGTCAAGAACAGCTATTTCTACGCTTGACTTCGTTGGATTTGGGAAGCGCGTGGCGTTCATTTGTCCATCTGTCGCTAGCTAGTGATACTGGAATTGAAACATGGAAAGCAAACTATTTTGCGAACCTGTAACAAACGTACCAACTGGCCGCTGACAGGTTCTTCCTCATGTAGCATACCGAAACTGATCCTTCCTAAAGTTTACCCGCTTACAATACCCTTGTACTTTAATTTTTCCATCCCTGGCAAAGAATGCCGCACTGTTTACCAACACGACATCTCCGCAATCTTGTCCTTACTCATCCTTTTTATGTCCCAATCCGTACCATATGACACATGGTCCAACCTAGCGCTTCCAAAAAACCGACGGCAACGGGAATGAGCTTCTGGTCTCTAGGACTGTCTATTCATTGCGATCCTGATTACTGAGGTTGATGGCTATCTCCTCGACAGTCTCGTCAAGAACAGCCTCGGCATTCTGGATTTTTGCCGACATCAGGAATTGAATAGCTATATTTCTGAGGATATCGATAACATCTTTACGTGACCATCTGACGGCGATACTACACTTGCTAAATTTGCAATATCCATAGCGGTCACTGAAGGGACAACAAGAGGCTGTTTTCCTACAATTAGTTTTGAACTCTCGTACCAACAGTTTTGCAGAGCTTGCTTATTTTAGCATCTGAAGATAAAGGTCAGACTTTGTTCGTTGTTTGAACTGAGATACATAGCTATGACGTCAAAGTAATACATATATATTACCTCGGCGGCCTTGATGGATATCAAAACTGTTCGAGGTAAAATACCGAGAGCAAGTAACAAACAGTACTTACCAATTGTTACGACTAAAATCTAGGAGCGGAGGTATGTTATTGATGCTAGCCATTATTGCTGAGAAGCGTTATAAAAAGGGGCCCGGTCTGGACTGCAAATTACGTATATGACCCCACGAACAAATTTCTAGGACACATATACAACTAGTCCTACTTGTGTGGCAGCATCTTTTTATCCCATCCAACGGTTTGGTCGCAAGGGAATAATATATAGATGATCCTACCACCAGTTCCTGTGACAAGAGCTTAGGCTTGGATCAATAACTCAATTCATCTAATAACAGTCTTTGGAATTAAAGGTCCTTGGTTTTCCTTGAGGCCTCGTTGACCAAGGGGGTCTTTAAATACAAGAAGTCAGCGAGGGACCCTACCCTAGGGCTCGTGACTATAGCTCTTGTGTAACTGTGTGATAGTTCCCCTTTGCCCGCGCCGCTACGCCTTGATTATTTCTTCTACCATGGACTAAGCACGATCCACGAGCTGAGCCAGAGGACGAGTATCACTGGAAAAACATAAAAGTCGTCAAATCAAGACAAATCACGTCTGGTCGGCAATACGCACCCGTGTCGCAGTATATAGAGGGTACTAACACACCAAAGTATGTCATTTTTCGGTGCACAACCTATCACCATGTTACAGTAGCTGCAACTCTCTGTACTTAATTCTGGTCATAATACACGACGGGAAATCAGTGACAGGCAAATATATCCTGCCACAAGCCGTAGACGGTAAAACCGGCTCGGCCAAATCAAGTAATATCCAGCGCGGCCAGATAATTGGCCAATGGGGGCACAGAATTTCGACCCATGATAGCTCCATGACCAGTCCCCGCATTTTGCCGTTTGACGAAAAATGAGCAAAAATGAGTCATTGACTCTTGGCCTGATTTGGCAAGAATCATCGCCAGAATGGTGGGCCATACAGTGCGGCGCACGATACGTCCTGCCATGATTCCGGTAGTTGCGTGCGTGCCCACGTCGGGCATGGAATTTGAGCGTGCCATGTATCAGACCAAAGAGGGACTGGACCATGCTCAATACTTGACCTTGTGTCAGTGTGCTTTGTGGCACGACGATGCCGCGAATCCTCCAAAGGAGACTTGCATGTAGTGCATCTTGCGTCGCAAAACACCTCAACGTAACGAGATGCACACATCCGAGATGCTTGCCTATATTTCTACATTTCTCTCAGAAGCAGTGAATATCATCTTAAGAACCTCTTGGCATTGGAATATACATGCCACACTTGGGGGGACAGATATGATCCATCGTTCCGCGACTGCCGGTACAATCAGAATGATTCATACTGGATCAGGACGAGACATCGGGAAACGCTGCATCCAGCTAAGAACTAGACCGGGGGGCATACAGAGTGATTGTAATTACTGCAGCAGTCGCAAGTATTAGCCGCACACGCTGTCTGAGCTCGGACAAGACTGGCAAGCTGCGTATTTGAATATAATATGTATAACCCATACCCAAGATGATAAATTAAGCCACAATACAACCAGTATGATTGTGAACCAAGACTCCAACTTCCCATGGTTCTTAAAGATGTTGTGCTTCGGAGCCACAGCGTCGGGTGCCTGTGTAAGTTACATCCTACAACATGCCCTTTGCACTGGTACAAAAACCCAACGGCTGTAGTGATGACAGAAACGGAAATTGATGATTCATTAATGAATATTATTTGCCATCAAAGGAAGAGAACGACATCGTCTGAGCAGCATGCCCGGGTTCTTTACAGCACAAAGACTTGGCAGAAAAAAACGAATGAAATTCATCTTGCTAGGGTTTCTTGCTAATCACAGACAGGTATTTCATAATTGGAAAAACTCTTGTTGTCGTGGTGGTCTAGGAAACGTTCCTCCATGATATCTTTGCATCCTTTTAATTTCTTCGCCCTTCACGAAATCATCACATCTACACCGCGTCAGGCGCAGCCTCACTTCTTAGACAGCATTTCCCGAAGAGCCTCAACCTCGGCTTCTCGCCGGGCGAGCTGCAACTTGAGCTCGTCTCGCTCATTGGTAACTTGTCCTAATGCGGTTTCCAGGTCCGAGATTCGATCGAGCCTTTTCTGGCGGTATTTCCGCGCAGCCATGGTATTGCGCTGACGCTTGATAGCCACCTGGGCCTCTTCGCTATCTGGATCCAGATCCTCAGGAGGAGAAGCAGAATACTTGCGTTTTGAGCTACCAGTGCCGCTGCTGCTGCTAGCGGGAGAGCCGTGGCGTTTAGTATTTGTTGGGATATGCAAACCTGAAGTGGGTTTCGCTGTCGTTGGTGCTGATGATGAAGTATTCAAGAAGGTATGATTGACATGGTTTGCGGTGGTCCGCTCGTGAGAAACTGCTGATGTTGGGGGGTCCTGTAAGGGTTGGTGCGGGTGAGAGAGTACATGGCTCAAGAAGCTATTGCTGTCTTGGACAAAAAGGTCATGGCTGGCGTTGTGTGGATGATGTCGGTGATGTGGAGCATCTATCCGAGTACTGTTAGCATACTCGCTAGTCCATTCTGTATTATAAGACGTTTTACTATAGGGAGAGCCTTACCATCCTGATCCAAGCCATGTTCAGTGCCGACACTCCCAAACAAACTCAGGTAGGTCATGTCCGGGTCGTCAAGAGAAGAGAGGGCCGGGGTGACAGTCGACGACGAGAAAGGATCCAAGTGGTGAGTCTGTTGAAGGATTAGTGGACACAGACCGAGAGCCAGTTCTTCTGGAGAGGCAGAAGCCGAAAGAGGAATCTGGTTCTGAAGTTGATTGAGCACCAAAAAGTCGTCAAGAGGCAACGGCCAGGGCGGGGAGTTGTCGATGCAGGACGTCGAAGCAGCAGCAGATAAATTGTGATCACCAGAGTTGGTGTGATGATCGAGCTCAGTCGGGGACCACCACGGCTCTTGATGACTACCAAGGAGGGTCGGGCTCCTTTCGTTGCTGCGGCCGGAAGAAAGCCACGATCTGTCGGCAAGCTGCGGTGACGGCGGTAATTGAGGTGTCCATGAGCTCACGCTAGGAGACCTCTCCTAGAAACCCCGGAGAGGTAGGGGACGGTGTGATTGTTCTAGTTGGTGTTTTCTGGGACAGACGCTGGGCACGCTGAGAAGAGCGACGTGTAGAGCAGAAAAGGTGGCTCACAGCAAGATCTGTCAGGAGATGGGACGAGGCGCTCGGCACTCGAGTGTGAAGGAGTGTGGGAGAGAAGACGTCAACATGTCGGAGGAGAGCAAGGGAGTCCTTTTAAGCTCGACGGTCGATATGGCCGGGTCCACATCGATAGAGGACGGGGTTCCCGCAAGGCTGGGCGCGGAAAGGGCTTGATGCGCGCAACTGATGGCGATCCAAGTGGCGAGTGGGTGGGTGAGATGGTGAGACTGCGACGCCAACTTGTGAGACTGTGGAGCCGGCTGCTCGCACAGTGTCCTGGCGTCTGAGCCTCAGCCGCACCTTCCCTGGCACGCACCAGGTTTGACTCACCAGTTGACCGGTCAGGGCACGCTATCCTAGTTGGGCATGGCTCCGATCTGATGCAGCAGCCTTGGTTCGCCCGTTCCAACTCCGGAAAGCCGGTCGAGGCTCCATCTTTATTGATATATTTGTGTCTGTATGACACGGTAAAGTTACTCGGTCCTCTGGTTTGGGTACGGTCAGACACGTGGTGTTTATTGATTGAACCCTGCCTGATGCAGTGCTTGCAACAGTATTTGGACAGGTCGAACGTAACAAAACGCTAAAAAACGAATATATGTTATGTAAATGATGGGTGGCTTTGACCATGCCGCTCATGGCATCATACACTCGTCGTGATGCAAATTCCTACAGCAAATTCGACCCTGTACTCCAGTACCCAGATGCTTAATCATGACAAGTCTGCCGTGAATAGTATACATGGTTATCAAATCAACAACAGTCAAACCAAATCAAAGACGGGTGGTATCAAAATAAATAAACAAGAAGAGAAGAAAGACAAGAAAAGAAAACACCTCATTCCGCAGAGTCGGGAAACTGATCAATGTAATTGGTACTTCCGTTCAGAATTACTTCGGCATTCAGCCGTACGCTGAACCGAACCATGTCTGTCGATGCCTCTTGTCTGTATCCCTCGCCGTGGTCGCCAATGTCGCTAGAGGCACCGATGGGCCCAACCGGCCGATGGTGGGAGAACAGACTTGGGTTGACGCTCAGACACTCTTGTTTGGTGCGGTCATGGGTGCCCTCGCAGTAGAACCGCAGCAGAATGTCGAACGCATCCGTCGCCGGCTTGAGCGCAATCTCACGGAGCATCTTTTGGGCACCCCGTTGACTAACGGCATAGGCGAGGCTGCAGACGCCCTCTTGCGCGTGGTGGACAACTCGTGTATGTGCCGGGTACTCCTCCACGAGCGAGAAGGGCTTGTTGATGGACCAGAGGTTCTTCTTGGGCGGGACCGAGACGTCATTCTCCTTGACCACGCGGCCCTTGGCTATGAGATTGCTGTGTTCAAACACAAAATGCATGCCGCAGTGCCCGAGCCAAAGGACGTCCCAGTTGTCTCCGTACGGGGAAATCAGAGGCTGCACGGTGTTGGGAAGGCTGTGGAAGTTCATGTCGGGCACCTTCTTTGGCGAGCCCTCGACTGGGTTGGGGTATGTGGGATCGGCGTATTGGCCAGGCTGGTGTCGCAAGGGCTGGGTGAGAGCTCGGCTCGACACCGCAAAGTCATGAAGCTGTTCGCGAATCCTGACATCCCAGTCGACGTCGTCTTCCATAATCAGCGCCGACGACAAGTTTCTTCGAACGACGCTGTGCCGAGGTTCCAAACGGTTAGACACGGCCTCCGTGGTAAGAATAGAGAGCATTCAAGGAGAAAAAAAAGCGCCTACTCGTGAATGGCGTTCATGTGAGCCCGCCAGGAGCCCAGGCCGGGACCCTTGAGGTGGTTATTACGATCCTCGGGCACCGGGATTGCCTTTTCGTAGACGTTTTCGCCTTTTACGCCGTCGATGAAGTTGATTTTAAGCCCTGAGAGGGCCGCGCCGAGTATCATGCCGTCGCGACGATCTGTACGGGATGGCATGCCGACAACAAGTATGTCTTGGAACTACCAACTCGCAATGATCAGACTGCCCGTTAGCCAAGACCGCACCGCTGAGACAAGTGGTCCAGAAGAGGTGGCACGGAAACAAGACAGCGCAGGGACACCACTTACCCCGAGCGTCGAGTTGGAAACGTGTTTGAGGCTGTCGCTTTTGTCCCAGGACCGGGAATGTGCGATGCTGGGTCCATCGGTGAAATGCCTTCGTTGCAGAGTGAAAAGAGCTGAAATGAAAATCAAGATGCCCAGAGGCCAGAGAACTCGCCGCCCTAGAAATCCAAGCATAGTATTGCTCTCCGTCTTCATTGCGCACTTGACAGTTTGCGGCGCTTGCATCAAGGAGGGTTGGGTCAATGTCAAAGGCGGGAGAGGGAGAAGAAAGCAAAGAGGGCCGGGGGACGATATGTTGGTTCGACGAGCCATGGTGGATAGCATCTTAGAATAGAACAACGCTGTAATAAGTGATCCGTCTATGTACAACGTACCTTGACCGTCCCCACCATTCATCGGTTAACATATTCGTCATCCGCCATGTTGCGCAGCGTTTGACTCTAACCCTAACCCTTGGGCTCTTTGTTGGACGTTGGACTGAAGGTCTCCACCAACATCTCCACCACGGTCAGGCTATATGGAGTACGACACGAAGTAGGCGAATGTACATTTCTCCTCTCCCCCTTTTCAAACCAGACTCTTGCACCAACGGAGGACGCGCGACTTGTTGCTCGAAACGCTGGCCAGCCCCTTCGGGATGCCGACAGAGCCGGCTGACGATATTGGGCCGGGGTCAAAAATACAAGTCGCGCCGGCGGCAAGGCCTAGCAAATGACAAGTTGAAACCAAATTACATGTCCAGAAAAATATGCCAAGACACGGGACAGTCTTCAGCAGGCGCCAGGATCCAGAAATGCCATGATTATTACTGGTTCGACCCTCGGCAAGCGACCGACACGGGACCCTGAGCCCTCCCCCCTGTATCTATCCATTGGCCAAGGACGCCCTGCATCATGTTGATGTCAAGGGAGTCCTACTCAACTCCAGATGTTGAGCAACGCAGTCAAAACGAGGCTGATGATGGCCGCCATGGCAGTATGAGACTGTACGACCCGGCGGGATAACGAGGGCTTACCCGCCCCCCCGTCTCCCCTCGTCGCAGCAAATCTTTCGACCAAGACTTGTTTAATGGTTGACCCGGCTGTACTCTGTCCCATCGTCATGTTCATGCTTTTCACGCCATTATGCTCGGCTTCATCCTTGGTCTCGTGCTCGCCGCTGTGCCGTCGGTGTTGAGCCAGTTCTTCAACCCAAAGTCCGGGGCTATATTCACAATCGGAGGCCAGATAAGCGTCTCCTACAAAACCAGCCTTGAGGCGTATAATATTGCCCTCTGGCAGCAGGTTCCCGATGGTGGTGCCGCCATATTGGGACCTGTCATCTTGAGTACGTAGCCCTTCATTTTGTTCTCACCAAGTGTCTTTGACAGGTGCAGTTTAGCTACCCTTCGACCCAACGTTGAACTAAGCAGAAGGGAGGGAATTAATACATGGCGTGATGATGGAGCGACGAGAGACTCCCCCCCGGTATCACCACTGGGCTAATTCTTCTCTTAGACGTAACCAATGGTCCGGCATCTAGTTTCGACTGGACAATCGCTGTGGACAACTTGGACTTGACCTACTCCAAGCGCTTCTTCCTTTGGCTGTTTCCAAATGCCTATGCCCAGGGAAACCAATCTGCTCCGGGCTCGATGAGTTCCGGCTACTTTACCATCGTCGACAAAACCCCCGGCCCAGCAAGTACCTCGTCAAGCTTGACAACATTGTCCACTACAACCACGGCATCCTCTTCAAGCACAGCTGCCACGATGGGTACTCCTACTTCTGGCCCAGATTCTCAACAACCCAAAACATCTGATGGCGGCCTAACTACGGGGGCCAAGGCAGGCATAGGAGTTGGAATCGGAGTCGGTGCGCTGGCTATCATTGCCTCGGGCGCCTTGTTCTTGCGATACAGATCGAAGAAGGACGCCGAGATCCGAGAATTGCGGCACGAAATGCAGAACAAATCATTCGCTATGCAATCTTCCGCATACCGGCCTGCGGAACTCATGCACCAACCACGTCCTGTTGAATTGGGCTGAGACATGGCACAACAGTCAGAATAAGCACTTGATCATGGTATTCCATGAGAAGCGGTGGTTCTTGCGGGCATGGGGCATCTACAGGGCGGCTTTTCGAACTTCACGCGGGTTTCGTTGCTTTGGAGTTTGTACGAGACAGGCTACACCGAAGAGGGACTGCGAATCGGGGACGAAGCAAAGGCTAGAATTGCGTACGGTTAATATGCCCTTCAAGACGGACCGTTGGGTATCTCTTACAAGTCTGTCAATATGGACCCGTTTGCTCCCTGGAATGGAATTACACTGGTAGATAAGCACATGTAAGGAAGTTGTGAAAGATCTGGCTCGACGCTAGAGGTATGTTAACTAGTGACATTTGCATTAAGCATATGGAGTTTTTGGTGCAAGGTGGAATGAGCACTTGTCATTTTGATGAATAGCTTCGGCATCATCTTCTTTTTCCGTATTGTTCACCTTGCGATATATGAATGCCTAGTCCCGAAGACAGGGAGCTTTGTTACCGCTCAAAAGCTCATAGCAATATGTCAAGATGTTCACTTTTGCCTCCTACAGCTATTGAGTCAAGAAGGCAATGATTCAAGGTCCAAGAGGCGATAATTGAAGATTTGAGAGGTTCGAGGGTGTTACACGCCCAACGGATCGTGACGCCCAACAAAGGGGCTTCACCGATACGGGACTTATTGGTTACACAGCTCGAACACGTGCCCAGGCCAGAGCTCCAGGCCCGGGCGTTCCTTTCATGTACTCCGTATATAAGGCGGTCACCCTTCTCTTCTTCTCTTGCAGCAACTAAAGACCTTAGAGACCCTTCGAGATTATTATTGAATTGAGCCCTTTTGCTCCAAGCCTTCTGTATTGAACCCTTGTCACAGAGGGTCACGATATTTGCTTTTTCTACGGTTTCGAGTTAAAGCTAGGATGAAGGTTATCACAGGGGTCTTCAGGGGCTCCAACAGGGTATAAAAAGGGTCAATTTCCCGGGATTTCGGGGTTTTCATCTTAGATCTGCAGACACCAAGTGCTGCGTACTCCGTACCACAAACTGGCTCATCCAGGGTCTTAAGATTAGCTAGAAACACGGAGCCAAAACTTCAGATCGCACGGGGCCTCCATGCCTCTAATGTGATAGGCTTGGTTGAACTCCGATGGGAGTACAATAGCGTAGTAATTTACTTTGATGTGGGGGGCCCTTTGGATGCTGATGTGATTTCTCATGACACGGTACGCAAGCTCACACATAATGAGCATGTAGCTCCTCAGTATGGCACTGCGAGTTGTCTATTCTCTCTCTCATAAGCAATCCCTCTACCGCCATTTCGAAAAAGATCTTGATTGGCGACATACTTAAAGACGAATTGTGAAGTTCCTTCTGGGCGTACAGTACACATAATTCGGAAACAATTTGCGCTTTAAGCCGCCAGACTCCTCGACAGATGCTGTGTAATGGCCGCCGCCTGAGCTATCACAACGATTTGAGCCAGCGCATTGAAGTTACGTCAAGTTTGAGAACGCGGGCTTGTACTTGGACGCGGGTCGCCTGTCAAGCTCTCTAGACACTCAATTCCAAACTACCCAGAGGCCCTCGAGTTCCTTGGCTGCGCTGAGCCGATGCCACGTTGGCAGCACAACTTCCCGTCCAGACACTCAGCTTGGTGAGTATCTTATGCATGAGCGTCATCAGTCGGCCGGGCATCAACGCGTCTGTAGTGCAACCCGGCGATAAGTGTTCGGCGGAGAGGAGAGCTATCGAGCTGGTGCCTTCTGTCGGTTGTTTACCATTTCCATAGCTCACACAAAAGTTCGAACGCTGTTCTGTCCTTTATTGTACCAAGAATTACTGCTCAAGATAGAAACGTGCCACTTGCTCCTCATTTCGATCGCTCAACCATGCCAGACCTTGTATCCGTTCCTCGTTGACCCAATCCTGCCCCTGTCGGACAGCGAGTAGCGAGCGGAATGCCACCGCCTCCTTGGAGAAAAAACCCGACTTTGTAAAAAGGTACATGCGCCGCTTGTTCACGCCTCGGAATTCCTTTTCCAGTTGCTCTTTCCCCCAGGCCTCAACTACCTCGGCAAATTGCTGGCTGAGCGCCTCCCGCTTCAATTCCAAGCGTTCTGTGCTAACAAGTCCAGGGACAGCACATTTGACACCCATCAAATAGGGGAAACGGTAAAGCGCCGCATCGGGCACTGAAACCACGGAGTCCCAGTCAATCACGGCGAGTACGTTGAACTCCTGATCGACAAGAATGTTATTCGGATTAAGATCATAGTTGGCAAGGCCAAAATCCTCAGCGGAGCCACGTTCTGCTCGGGCTGCAGGGGGCGGAAAGGAGGCAGCGAGGGAGCAAAATGCTTGGATTACTTCGCCTTGTCCATCGACTGGCCCTTCTCTCTCTTCTAGACTGTTGCCCAGTGCCAGGGGATAGTCGGCGTAGAACTCGGCAGCAGAATCGTACGGCCCCGAGCCAGTCTCGATCAGAGGTCCCGCAACGAACGAACCTGCGGCTTCTTGAACGATGGAGCCGATTTGTGGTAGGCGGACGGAAGCAAGCTGGGTCATGATGTTGGCGATTTGGCGCCAAAATTTCTCTCGAAACGGCTCTGGGATGCCTTCTCGGTTGCCAGGATAGCTCCGGGACACCTCCTCGGCGGTGTTGCCGTGGACATATTCCATTATGAAAAAGGGGCATCCAACGGCGTTTTGTTCATTCAACTCATGGGCAAAGATCTTTGGAATCGGGATGTCTGTGTTCTGGCTACGATATAGTTAGCACTAGTAGAGTATGAGGCTTTGCGGACTCACCGCACAAACTACATGGTCGCAAGCTCAGACTGCATGCTCAGAAATCGCTTCTCTTGGGCTTTGGGAGAGACTGTCTCGACGAGCTGGCCAGCCACGGGAAGTGGAGGCATCAGCAGCCTCACGATCCACTCGACGCCATCATGGAACTGAATCTTGCGCACGAGGTGGAAGTTTCCCACTGAGAACTCGGTGGAAATGTTGCATGGCTGATTCCCTCGAAGTGACGAGGCATAGGATCCTAGGGCTTTGATGTCTATCTTGTCAATGAACTTGTGAATACGCTCGGCGTATTCTTGCCCATAGTCCCCAACACCCTTCCAGGAGATATTTCCGGGTGGTGGAGAATCTGTCATGGTTTGTCGGCAATTCGAGATACGTTGGCTGATGACGCGATGTTTAGATCCAAACTTTGGGAAGAATCTCGGCGAGAGTCGAGAGTCGAGAGGCAGAAGTGCGGAGAAGCCCTTGCCAGAAGCTCTGACCGTGATCTGCTACGACCAACAGCCATGCGAAGAGCATGGAGGACTTGGGGCAGTTGCCAACGACGCAAAGATTGCGAGGCCATTAGGTACGGCCCGTGCCTTGATGGCAACGTGACCTCCGTGTAACACAAGGACTTAGCAAAGGGCTTGGAGTAATGACTCGATTCATCTAATAACAGTCTTGAGTAACGAAGATCCTTGTTTTCCTAAAGGCCGAGATGACTCAAAGAGCTCTATTTATACCAAGAAGTCGATGAGCCTTCTGCCCTAGGTGTCGTGATCATAGCGTTTTTGTAACACCAGTGTGATTCCGTGTGACAGCGTATCAGTGAGCAGGCTGATCTACGTCGGAAAGGTACAGTATAGGGGCAAAACGCCACTAAGAGTAGGGTTCCTGATACCCAGAAGCGTCTTCATCACTACTGCAATGAGTATGCTTTCTACTCCTCATAATGCAACTAGAAATATCGACAATAACTAGTATGCTTTGTCCTGTCCCGCACACCCAGACTCAAACAAAATTCTAGTAAGAGCTGAGGGTACAGTTTGGGCTGATAGGTCTGCCCATTGATTGGAGAGGCTATTCATCATCCATCGCTTATCCGGGCACAGCGGGTGTCATATACGATTCGTATATCCTGTGCTCGAGGCGCATTTCTCACAACATCAATAAGCTGGTTTACATTTCATGGCTTATTCATGCGTCCATCTACTTGCCTTGCATCATTTGGCCATCCAGACAGCATCGGCATCATCTGCTATCGCCTGTTGAAAGGGATGTGCATCCAGCCATTCCTCCGCCGTCTCCTTCCGGGCGTGCTTATTGTAGAACTCGTCTAATGATCGGTTTAAATCTAGCGAAGATGAGTACATAGCCTATTGCTGTGGATCGGCATATTAAAATATAACCTTGTAATGGCATTCCGCGCGATGGCTGGAGAGAGAAATGGGAACTACAGTCGTTGATAAGGATGAGATGGCTTGGTATTTGCGTCCCTGTACAACTTGCTTCAGTCTCCAAGAGATCAAGTGTGTGGCAGAACTTGTTTATACCTTTGGGAAGAGTGTAGATAAATGGAGTCTCAGCCTGTTTGCCTTCGTCTTCACGGTCGAGAGCTTCATCAAAATATCGGCGCACGAGTTCCTGCATCAAGAAGGTATTTGGAAACATGACTGCGCCATTTGACACTGGTAACCAGTTAGTGCTGCTAGTTGACAGAAGCTTCCTGCGCACGAACCCGAGCTCACGTTGACGGCCGGATATACAAGACCGTTCTTGTGTATGGTTACTCCCTCGTCATATATGTCATCGGGCCGGCTCTCGTTCTCTCGGTGGTCAAACAAGCCAGAGGTGCGGCGCGGACAATAGTAGTGCAACGTGGCAGGAAACGAGGCGTATATCGCCTTGACCGAGAATTGCCGCCGAAGCAGCATGTACGGCTGTCGGTGTAAGTTGGAAAAGCCAAAAACGCGTCCAATCATGACGAAACGATGAGCATTGCTTTAATCGATTCGTAGGTAGTAGGTGCCAGTAAACTTGATTGCAGTGACAAGTGGCTCGGCATGAAGTTTTGCCGACGCTCTTTACGCGGTCATGATTGGATGAATTCGCCCCACAATAACCCTCCGAAGACACGCAGGGCTGGTGAGCGCTTAATTCGCGAGATGAACCATTTGAGTCTCATGATCAGCGATGCTGCCTAATATACCAGACATTTATTGGCTTCCAGATGATTGAACGCGGCCGCCGCTTAGTCGTCTCTGTGAAGTCCAGTCGGTGCCGGAAAATTCTCGACTCCGGAGCTGGAGTCACCCGGCCACCATGTCCCGGCTTGAGCTGTCCAGACATCGTCAGCTCCATGCATCCTGTGAGGCTGTGACCCAAGGTATTGCGCAACGAGTGAGGATCCCGTGACCGACTTACAAACGAATTGGTGCCCTAATTCTCTCTCAGTCTTGACCAGATTGAATCTACAATGCAGGCTTGTAATCTAATTGCCGTGTTCAAACGATTCCCAAAACACCTTTTCCGGGTAAACACTGGCCGTCCAATCAATTTGCGCGTCTGGTCGCCTCGACGATATAGCTACGATATTTTTGCAGAAAACGGACTCGTTAAGCCCAAGGCACTCGACCCACTAAGCTATGCAGGTTCGTGATGGCGACAAGGAAACGATTGAGCCACGTACGAGATTTCCTTGGGCTGAACTATGCTGTAGCCCCCAACGGCGCGTCAATGCGGCCCCATTCACCCTACCAACAATCTCTAGTGTCCTGGCGATTCCGAGGCAGTGATATGATCGTGTATTCGGTTCCTAAAGGTAGGCTGGCAACCAGTTCACCACCGCGATCGGGCGGGTTCCAATGCTAACAAACGCGATAAAGGAACTCTGCTTCCTGACGACCTTGTCTTGGTTCATGAGCGGTCGGACCACTACTCCCTTCAGCCTGCGGTAGCCATGACTGTTGACGGCAAGTTTTCTTGCATGCCATTTCGAAATTGTGACCAAAGTCTGACGCGCCACTTAGATATGAATGCACGAATGACCAACTTCTTCAGGGATAATGCGCAAGAATTCACCAGGGATGAGTGGCTTGAAGCGTATCCAAAAAGCTACTGAAAGCAGCCAATTCCATCCATCACGATGAACCCAGCGCCAGCAGGTAGATTCATTTTCCCGGGTAGACTTTCAAGTATTGAAGCGTAGGTTTGTGCGTCTTGTGAGTTGGGCATATCATGGTGTCTGGTGCCATGCTTAGCACACCCTTTGACTATGGGATGAGTTGAAAGACTAATCTCAGATAGTGACATGGCAAGCAGACCAGTGTTGTAATTACAAACAAAATGGACATTTAAGCCGATTTAGACCTCTCCACACAACCTTTGTCTAGTCCTTTCTATCTCTAACTCCTCCGGGAATGGCTTAATGAAGCAGCAGAGTGGATGCTGCCACTCTGTTCTCAAGATCTGGGTGCACCATGCAGATGTATATTCCCAATCATTTGGATACTATGTATACTCTCCAATGCCCGTGCAGAGCTCGGGCAAATCCTTGAAACTAGCTGACCAGTTGTCACCAGATATAAGGGGTACTAACAGAAAAGTATTCGTGCCCAACCCTAACCCTTGGCCAGCTCATGTCCCGCTGGCCAAGCACCCGAAATAATGGAACGCCGTCAGTCCCGGTGTATCGCCTACTCACGTTCCAATTATTGATACTCACATCTGCACATGAACATTTACACCAACCCTTGCTTGGATATTAATGCCCCAGATATAGCTAAAATGATTAGGGAACACACTCGGCCTTATCATTCAACATGACGAAATTGTTAGTTCTGAACTCGTGTCTCACCCAACACTTCAGTCATCTCCTGATGTAGTGAGCGGGTTTCCGCCGAGTTGTCTTGTGCGTGTATGTCTGCTTTTTGCCGCCTTGTATCGCATATACATAGACTAGATAACGTGTTAGTAAAGTACAACTGAACTTGGATGTACAAAACAGATCGTACAATAGTCCTCCGGCAAGTATGCATCCTGCCACTGCCGACCCTACCGCGATGCCCACCTTCTGGGCAACATTTAAGCCTGTCGATTAATGATACAGTCAGTACATAAATTACACCAGAACCGGGCGAGGTTAGGTCGGCTACAACGTTGTCGTACTGGCTCGAACTGACAGAAGTACGCCATGTCTATATGTAAGGGTTCAAAAGGTAGCTTGACTGACCAATTGTTCCTGAGATGGGAGGGATCCCTGTCGGTGTTGGTGCAGGTAGTGAGAAGGATGCAGTTGGTGTTATTTCCAAGGTCGTTGTGGTTGTATTTGTAGGCGGTAGCGGCGATGAAATGCTGGCAGTGAAATACACAGTCTCCATCGCCGTCACAGTCCCGCAGCCATACGCTACCGCGTGGGTTTCTGGCCAGGTTAGAGTCTGGCAATAGGGCGAGTTTGAGGGGCTTAGTTGCTATTTAGCACATGTTCGGATATGAATGCTCACGGGTGCCAACTCTACCATGTTAGGACAGCATCCGACGAAAGGCGTCCAGATGTACCATAGTTGAGGCAAGCAGTTGGAATCCTCCCCTCAGAGCCACAGCCACCAAATAGCGTTTGAGGATTTCGGTCCCATGTTGAAAAGTTGCATGGACCGGCTGTACATGTCACTGAAGAGACTGTAAACCGTCAACGAGTCCAGCTCGTCTTCATGATTCCAAGCGGCATGGTTGTGCGCACCTTGGATACCGCTGATATATCCACAGGTCTCAAAGTCAGAGATAGAATCCTGTCGTTTCAATTTGGTATCGGGGTGTTGAGTTGTTAACGGGGTGATTGTCGCGCCTCCTGTTGTGGTTGTCAAACTTGAGCCTAGCGTAATATAGGCTGCGTAACTAAAAACTTGTATCGCGAGAAAGGGTCTCATTGCAAAATAGAATTCTAACATTAAACTCGTGAAGTTCTAAGGAATAACTCGAGTCGTTCTGGCTTTATTTTCATCATCATATTAATCTCTGTAGTCCACATGCTTCATCGGCAGTCGGCAAGGTGCCAAAACGTCCACGTCCATTTTTCAGCGTGGCTACCATCATCACGGCGATTCCGCTTCAGCTGAAGCTGAGGCGCTACCACGTGGCGCTTTGCTTCTTCGTGGCAACCCGAATGTTTGTGTGTGTGTGTGAGTGTGTCCACGATGTCTTCAGTGTGTGGATGTTCGTCACTTCAACCGGGGCGTTGAATGAATGGGTGAAAGCGGCTAGGATGGCAAATGTATTCTCATAAGGTTCACATGGTGGCCGTTTGCCCACAAAATGAATGGATTTGATGGCAAAGCTGTGACCTCGCCACTCGCCACTTTACTAAATCCATACGTGCCATGTCATCCGAGTGAGTACCAAGTGGATAAAAGGTTTACAATTCGCAAGAAAGTTTATGTTTTGCATGTCGGGACGCCCAAGATTATTGAAGCTACACATTGCGAATCTGGGCAGAAGAGGCTTACTGCTCGCTGACATGTCTGGAAACAACAGCACTTTGAATTGTTCCGCTCTCGCCGAAATGGGAGGGTTCGAAGAGTACATGAAGCTAATTCACAACATAACCGATTTCAATATTCAAAAACTGGGAATTTGCCAAAGAGAAATTTGCAGCGCGTTGTTTGGAGTGGGCAACCCAGATGTCTCTGGCATAGGAGTTTGTCTAGTCCTCCATCCAGCACATGAGGCACACAGAACTAACGTTTTCCCAAGGTAACCGTTGCATATGTCATCGAGACAGGGCTTGGATTCATTCTTTCTTTATGCTGTTATCTCCTCCGGAGACACATGACCACGTCGCCATGGAAGCGACTCAAGGAGAAGGCAACAAGGCCAACAGAGAAAGGACTCGACACTTTCTTCATGTCAGCAATTTATTTCACAGCCTCCATATTGATTGCTAGTAACTACTCGCTGGCTAAACGAGATTTTGACGTCAGCGCGGAAGGGTTTGGAGTCCTTGAGTCTGACCTTGTCTCGTCTGTCACGGTTGTTTCTGTGCTGCCGCTGCTATATCTAATAACTATTGGCCTGGCAGACGTAAATGGGGAAGCCAGCTCTAAAGATGTAGCCGCGACTGGAAGAGATGCAAACGAAACTATGGCAGCCGGCCCCGGTCATCCTGTTCAAGCGAGAAGCGCTGTCGAAAGAAGAGAGGCAAGGAAAAAAGAGTATAATGAGCAACTACAGAAAAGGTATCGTCTGATTCTCCTAGGTTTGAATCTGGCTCTCTTCTTCTATCCATTCATCTCCCAATGCACGCACAATTGGGCACCGACAGATATCGGACAAGGCAACGGCCCAGGTGGCACTACGATCGTGGAACAGCCAGAATGGGATGCACTCATTGAAACTTGCTTTACAAGTCATAATACGAGTAATCCTCTTTCAAACGTCGAAAGTACGGTAATATCTGTTTTTCAACTTACAGGATCATTAACGTACGTTATTGTGACGGTGTGGAAATTCCTATTCTTGCTGTTGGCATACCTGAAAATTCACACAAGGAAAAAGCTGAAATTTTTCACGTCTTTCTCTTATATTAGGTGGCTATGCAAGGCTCTGGTCTTCTTGGGACCTCTTCTTCTTTCCATTCCTTTGCTCTGGAGCATATTCAGGTTAAGAGACCTACAAAGGGGCCTGGCTGAAGCTACCCAGAATACTTACCCTGATAACTTCTGGTCATTTGGTCAAGTCATGGCTATTGTGATATTCATTCCGGTCATCACAGATATGTTTTGTTGCTTACTCGAGGTGTAATGCAGGTCTGTTATAGCATTATTTTAGCACGTTTAGACCTGCTATGAACAGTGTGTAATATTCCACGTTGCTTGTGGTGCCTTGATGTACTACGAAGCCTGTTGAGAATACCACAGCCAACTCTTCTCAGTCCTTTCCATTACTTTCTTGTATTTCTAGACAATAGAATATAGATACATAGTCCCGGGCTTCGAACAGAAGCCGCGCATCCACGGCCATTGCCCTTTGTAGCTTTCCAAAAAAAAAAAAACAATGCGTACATCCGACACAATGGTGCCGAAACATGGTATAGAATTAGCAGAAACACCAAGTCGATAAAAGATAGGTGGTCACTGGTGATGCTACAATTTCCAAATTCTTTTGTTCTGGAAAACGCCACTCATCACTCCTGTAGGCGTTGTGATGGGCCAAAAGCAGATAGGGAGATGACTAGAGCGGTGCAGAGGCAGATCAAAGCGGCTCTTCCAAAAGGGACGCAGTACCCCCTTCACCTTGGTTCGTAATATCTCCATGTACTGCCTGGCATGTTATCACTTGCACACAATGTTTGTTCTCGCCCGCCGTGTGGAAGTTGGCGAGTAAGGAGTGGCTGTGGACCACATGCACCTTCCCCAGCAGTCAGTGCCAACTGGTGTTTTCTCCAAAACAACAAAATTTGGGCCTGGGCCCTCACTGCCCATCAGTGCCCATCAGTGCCATCACCCGGTGGCGCGATGCACTGTGCCCGGCACGAACATGGCATCACGCCGCAATAGCGGGCATCAGCACGCACCGTCAGAGTTCCTAGTTCCATCGGCTATATGACCTGTTTGGCCCTGGGAATGGCGCGCACATTTTAACCTCCCAAGGGCATTAGCTGATTGGCATCTCCTAGGCCATGCCGCATTAGGTCCCGGCAGGCAAACGACGTCTTCTCCGCCTATCAGCGACACCAGCAGGGCTCGTTTGTCTCACATCAACGAGGAACACAAGCGGAAGCAGCCAACAGGGTGGTTCCGAGCCTAATACTAGCCCACTGTTGTGCAGCACCTGGCGGCCGAGACAATGCCAGCTGCATCAATCCGGCAGGCAATTTGATTCTGATCGGGATACACATATCAACACACAACCCCCATCGTCACCTCCCTCGTGCAATTCAACATGCCATTTCCAACAGCGCCAAGGGAAACGGAAATTCACGAAAAAAAACCCCCCCGAAAAAAACAAAACGCCAGCTTCCATCCAGAAAACGGCACCTGGGCTCTTTGCATCACACGCAACGGCCCTATTCCTTTGTTCATCGGCCCGTAAAACGCTTCTCTAGAATCCGAAGCGGCACATACAACATCGCACTCAATGAGAATGCCACCTCAAAACCAATATCACCAGCCTTTTCCGCAATGGGGCCAACATACCACTCCTCGCTAATACAGGGAACCACCAAGCCCAACGCAAGCACGCCGCTGGAAATGGCTGCCACGCCCAACGGCAGCTTGCTTCCTTTGGTCCATATGGCCTGGTCGTACGAATCAAAGCGGCAGCGCCGAATGACCACATGATCCGTCATGACAATGCCCACAAAGGCCGCCGACCAATACGAAATCATCGACATGAAGTTGTTGAGGCCAGCATAAAAGTCGCGATATGCGTATATTGCCACCGGAATGATGATTGCCGTAATGACTACCGCAAACACGTACCTGGGAACCTTGAAGAGAATGGGCGCGAGGGCCTGAAAGTTCAGTGTGATGGCATAGAAGGTGCCGCAAGTATTGCCGAGAAGAGAGAGTGCCTGCAGCACCACTACGAATTTCCCGAATCCGCCTGCGCTACTCACCATGGCCGCCAGAACGCCGCCCACGCCGTATGCCTCGTTGCCTTCTTCCCAGGTGGGATTGCTAGGTAGCGCACCTGCAATAGCCGCACCGAGAGACATGAGCAATACAGTGGGAATGGCCAGCCCCCAATATGTATAGTGAAACACTCGCCACCTACCACGTCGGCTTCGTTAGCAAATTCTTGACGGAACTTTGGGTGCATGCCGGGGGAACAACTCACGACGGGACCTTGGGGTCGAAATACGTTGTCAAATCGCTGGAAATCGCAGCCCAGGGGATTTGATACCCGGCAATGATCATACCAAAGCTCAAGATGTCAGCGGCCGTTGTTGGTGCTGCGGGCTCTTGCTGTTGTTTGAGTCTGCTCCCGCCAACCCCAGCAGCTATCATGATACTGATGAGAGCAGGGATGAAAGCAAATGTTTCAAAAATGTGCAACACCTTGAATCCGGCAAAGGAGACAATCAAGGACAATACGGAAATTACAACAATGCCTACATTCGGCGTTATGGTTCCCGACGATATTGCTGAGAGACACTGCCCGCCAACGACGCAAATGATGGCATTGAATCCCGTCATCGTGGCCAGATTCAACAGAACTGGAATGGAAACGAAATAACGGCTTCGGACAACGCATGAATCAGCTCGCCGCTTGATGAAAACACGTTGGATGCTATAGCGCGACAGAGGAGAGGCGACTAAACAGCCATGGAAAGCGAGAGAGCCGACTTACCCAAAGCTATAGCGAGCATGAATCATTTGCCTCATGCCCGTCTTTGGACCAAATGTGGCAAGATACCCTGCTGCGATGGCTGCAAGCAGATTGAAGCAGACGATCACAAGGGCGGAATCACGTAAGCTCAGGTTGTGCACGAGAGGGCCGAGCATGCCGACTGTTATACTGTCCGAAGAAGTGGCGTTAGTCAAACTCGCGCTCCATCTCCAGCCCTGAGCAAAGTGTGAACGAACCCGAGAATGTTGGAGTTGATGGAGAACCAAATGGTAAATATGCTCCAGAAGCGCTTCTGTGTTCGTTCCCCCACCACCAAAGGGCGGATGCCGTTTTCTTCGACTTGACCGGCTCGCAAAAGCTCCCGAGCAACTGATGGAATACAATCGGATGGCGCAGGCTGAGAAGATTTCCCAGAGCCGTAAGTTGAAGTACTGCCTACCTGGCGCTCTTCGGCATCGATATCTGAGCTGCTCGTTGGGGAATGGCGGCAGGGTGGCCGTTGACTGTTCTTGCGCGCCGCCATGGTCGATGACGACGTGTTCCTCTCGTCGGTGGTCTCATGATGCTCCGACATCGCTGCAAAGATGCCCGTTTCGATGAATGATATGAGTCTGGCACGGGTCGACTTTGTTTCCGTATCTTGCTGCTTCCACGGGGACAGGCCTCGAGCGGTGCTCAACCAACCCCAGCCCAGCAGGCAACGATTGAGCTCAGCCCGCACGAAGAAGCCAAGCACCAATCAAGGCGAGAAACATGAGACAAGCCGAATATGGGTAATGACTTCTCCAGTCCGCCAGGTTTTGTCAATAAAATCTGCAAGCACACGCATGGGCGGGACTTGTGGGGTGTCAAGACGGTAGCATGCAACCGCCGCGATGCCAAGACCGACTGTGAAGGGGGAGCAGAGGCCGTCTATCTCTCAAGAACCAAATCTTATCATGGACCGGGATGGGGTTTTGCAGGACGACTGCAACGTTCCGGGATGTCTAATGCCTCATACCACTTTGGGAGGGTTGTGCGGACGGAGGGGTCAATAGGGTACGAATGCTCCGTATGGCAACAGACTGCTCGGGCTGCAGATCTGAGAGGGGTCAGGTATCATGAGATGGAAGCAGTTTATTTGACAATCAGAGATTGGGAAAAAATCCGACGATGCTGGGTTCTGGCATTGAAGAGATGGCGAATGCATGTTTTAGTATCCGTCCTTCTCCTTTTGCCCACATGCACCACCATGTCCACCCAAGAGATTCAACAGGGGTTCTGCGGCATGGCGGTTGGCGGGTTGTGGATCAGCTCAGCAGCCAGGTTCGGGACTACTAGGTACATTATTCGTACTAGTTGTGAAGGGCTAGGCTGGCGGAGAAGCTTTATCTATCTAGTGTATGTAGACCCGTCACATTGGCGCTCTTGGCTACTCTATTCATCGCCAGCTTGACTAATGCAAACCCCGGCAGTTGTGAGCATCGTCATGATGTTGGGCCGAAAAGAAGAGCGATGTGGTCTTTTTATCTTTGCAGATGATGTTTTTTCTCTTCAAGACAAAGCATGTCAATGAATTCAATGATTGTCATAGTAGGCTAGGCAGCTGGTCGGCATCGAACCATCTATAGAGGATGGCGATGCTGACCGGCTGTGAGGAGGCGCTGCAGAGTATTACACAAATATGGAAAAACGCGCATCTTCATCACAGATGTTTGGTGCTACGGCAGAGTTGCCTTGGATCATTAGCAAACGGCTCTAGCCGTCGTTGCATTCGGCTTTACCCCATCTATCGCTATTCGGCAGATCATCACTCAACAGAGGCTCGAGTACCATAGGCGAAGGTACACACCTAGGTAAGCAGTAATGGTAGGATTTAGTCTCTCCAAGGCGACAAATCGGCCCAGAGCAATTGACCAGGTTGACATCACCAACAAGTAGTGGCGCACAACAGCACTCGGCCAAGGCACAAGATGCCCAGCAATGGCGCCATTGTTGTTCGAGGCCAACTTCCCTCACGAATGGAGTTGGTGGATCAAAGATTTTACACTGGGTCATGGTTTTTCAGCCGATAGTTTCTAGCGAAGCTTAACGCTTTAGCTCAAGCCACGGTTGTCTACTGCGTACCCAAGCATTAATGAATGTTTGAGTGGATGTTTTTCTTGCAACTATTGACAAGAAGAAGGGATCACCGGGGCCTGGACTTATATAAGCTGTTGCTCAGCCATCTCAACTGTTGAGGGTCCTACGTGATCACGTGCGGGCAAGCAGCCTCGCGTGCTGATGAATTTTTTTTGGTGCAACACATTCAACCATGATCCTTGGGGGTGAATCTCGCGCTCTTCTCCCTATCTTTCAAAATGCAGTTGGATGCTGCACCCAGAGCACTCTTCGAGAGGCTCCCAGCCGAGATCCTCGACTTGATTCTACTGCAACCGTCCTTGTGCGGTGAAGATATTAAATCGATTCGCTTGGCCAGCAAAAGAATCGCAAGCTCTGCCACCAGGCGGTTGTTTCGAAAAGTTCATATATCAGCTCTTCATCGTGATCGGGAAGCTTTCTTGAACATTGCTCAGTCACCACACCTGGCACGCCATGTACAAACTCTGGTCTGGGACGAGCTAACAGGAAACTTTCGACTTCTGAAGACTTCATTTCACATTGAATACTTGGGAGAGACAATGGGCTGGGGAGACTCACTTAACTCTGTCGGTTCTAATCTAGTCGAAGACCTTATATCACAAGTTCAGCCGCTATTTTGGCTAACATCGGAATCTGCCCCGCTGGAGGATGGCGAGATGGGATATATTGGTGCCCTGCCCTTCTGGGACGAGTTTGTTGAGGCGGCGGACAAGTTGCCGGCTCTTCGATCGTTTGTTTCGCGCCCAATGCAGCCCGATCGCGAGGTTCAGTCTGCCGCGGACGGTTATCCTCTGACCGTACGAGTCATCAAGGGATTTTTTCTCTGCGAGGATGTGTATGAACGCCAGGACGCGATTTTCAATCTTGGATTCTTATTTTATCTGATACCACTGCTAAAGCTGTACACGGAACGCGGTGATCAACGACCACGCCAGCTATTCTTCTCCGATGAAGATTCAGTTACCAAGAGCTCCCTCGAATATCTCGCGACCAGTGACGCTCCCGCCTTTAGACATCTCCACCATCTAGAGCTTAACGTCTTTGAGCGAGCTCGATGGTCACGTAGAGAGACGTCTGGACTGGAGGCTTGCCTCACCGAGGCTGTCAATCTGAGACACCTGCACCTGGGGTATATTCAAGCCCAGTGCAGGGACGATTTTATCCCCGGAGCCGACATTGACAGGAGCCCGCTGTATGCCATACCTACCCTACCATCTCTTGTGAGCCTGTGTCTGGACGACGTTATTCTTGAACATAACTATTCAGAGAGCCCCGATTATGGTGTCGATTTGCCTCGTGATCATGAACAACCGGCCTTTGTGAACTTTATCACACGCCATGCCGCTACCTTGAAAAGGCTCTGTGTTGTGTCTTCCTATGTGACAAGGCACAGCGTGTGTAAGCTTGCTAGGGTACCTGACTTGAAGCTACACAGGTTTATCATGGCAAACCCGGACACGAACAATACATACTATAATATTAAAGAGGAAGATATCCTGAATTTTATTAATTGGAAGTATGAGTATGATTTAGAAGGCAACAAGCTGCCTGGGCAAGCCGAAGGCCCCACCTTATCCTCCCGGTTTCCTAAACGCACACATGTACTCCCGGCATTGGAAGAATACGGGAAGGATGAATCGTTGACCATGGTTGATGATTGTCGAGAAATATGCAGAACACATGACGCCCCAAGCGGTCTATGGGTGGATGAGGACGGCATATATTATGATCCCGCAACTGACCAAGAGATGACGGAGCCAAGGCAGGAATATTGCCGCCCCAAAGATTGGCAAGGCCAAGTCGATAAACGCAGGTGGGATGGTGATTTAGGTCTTTGGCGAGATACCTCATCCTGCCACAGTACTCCCTTGCACAAGTATGCGATCGACCGAGTCGCCGACACCACTTTTGGCGACAACTTGGACAAGCGCGGAGAAAACGACCCCGGGCTACAGGAGGAGCGTGATAGGGCTATCGAATTACCTGCCTATCCACCTGAACTATGCCTCTTGGAAGAATTTGAACATCAAGCTCGAAAACTCGGACACCCAAAATGGGCCTGGGGGACAGACGACCTAGGCCATGTCTGGTACTGGGAAGTCCCCAATAATGGTCCAGGCCACCCCACGAGAATCTGGCACTTCACGCACAGGAACGGCGAAGAGGCATACGGCGACGATCCGCTGGATTTCTGGCCAGACTGGGAGGGCGGCACATCTGGGGACACCGTCTCTGCGACACCATTCGGCGGCGAGCTGAGGTCATTCGCAGAGGCTGCCAGTGACAAACGGCGAGGAGACTCGCACCCGCCATCCACCCAGGTAGGGACGAAATATGGCCGGCCGGCCAGGTATAGTCTGCTCAGCGACCCATGGTGGGCTCAAAAACACCCATAAGAGGTCGAGTGGCTATTCTTCAGGCATGCGATTTTCTGAGGGGGGTTTCAAGAGCCTAGCTTCGTCAAAAACAAGTGGCCTTGATGGATGTCGGAATGCCGGGATGGACATGGCGGGCGGACAAGCCCACTCGCGATGCCTGGTCAGGGTTAAATATGTACTTGAGAACTGGGAATTGCACATATTCGACTAGCAGCAACGTACAGTGAGGAGTAGGACAAGATGGTTGGATCATGGTCCCCTGGGCGCCATTGCCACCAGGACGGGCGTGGACGAGGCACTGCTGGGTGTTGTAATGAAGCAAGTGTATAATATCAAGACTTTCTTAACGATGGCCACCGTTGACATTGTACATGGACGATTGTATCATGGACGCCCTCACATTGGGGTACCTGGAGCTCTTTTCGCACCACGCAGTAACTAAACCACCACACTAGTAACTTGCTGCCTACTGTACACGGAGGGACGAGACATGTAATGGCATTGTGCATTCTTGGCAACAGCATGACATCATTTGCATCTAGTTCTTTGTCCCTTGCCCCAGGCATAACTCCATCTAGAAGTTACAACCGCGCCTCATGCCGGGACGCAGCCATCATGCATGCGTCTGCTAAGCACTAGGTCGTTTGCTCTCCCACGCACGTCCATCCAGGCCAAAGTCCGTCTCGCCATGTCGTCACTCGCAAACACCACGTTCCATCTCGCGGTGCTCAGCTTCGCCACACGTCCCTTTACCCATTCTTCCCTTGCGCCTGGTAGCATGTGACTGTCGCAAATGCCGTCCCATCTTCACGAGCTGATGCAACACGCGCGTTTGCATCGGGCCCGTAATAGGCCCGGGCCTCTCACACCAAACTGGCCACGCTTTGCACACCACCTCTCTGTTCCCCACAGCCTGTTGCCGTCTGACCCAGAACAACGGCTATTGGACGCCTTCATTTTGGCCGTGGCCATGAAGCGTTTTGTTTCTTCCTTTGGCACGGCCATGTCTTGGATCTAGAAGCCACGACCGCCCGGGGAGTAAGCTGCCCACGCGACTGGAAAAGGCGAGCGTCTTTGGAAACCGAGTGTGGCATACGTGGACGACGTATTCGCCGCTGGGGGGGGCATGTCATGATAATACCAGGTGTTCTCGTGAGCCTACGCCGCAGTCATTGTGGGTGCAGTGTGGATGGATACCCTGACATCACGACTTTGTGTACCGAGTATTCGCCTGCTCTGTAGACGATATTGCAGAGCATTGAACGCTGGCACCGTGGGCAGTACCAGTGTACCAGGGCTTTTTGGTATGTTCCTCTGCTCGAGGCGTCTTCGAAGTACAAACATGATGCGGGCACATGGTGTGAAAGCGATCCCGTGTCCGGTGGTTTATCATCTTCATTGCTCTCACCACACTTTGCGTTTCGGACGATGCAAAGAGTGGCGTCGGTGACTTTGTCGTCACAATGACGAGGCGTCATTAATCGGGGTTCAAACTAGGAAAAATGCCGATGGACATTCGGGAGACAGTTTGGGCCGTATTTGGCACAACGGTTGTAGCATCGACTCTGGTGTATGCCGGCAGTTTCGACACGGCGGCGGATCAATATTGAAGCATAGAATACTTTGGTATCCAAAAGCCGGCTGCTGGTGTACCGACATCGCTACACTTCCCGAAGCATCCGCAACAAGTTTGCAATAGAAATTGATCGCTGTCGCCTGATCACACAGTTCGTTGGCCGCCCTCGGCTCTTTCTCAAGTGGCCCAGCTCCAGTCTGCAGACGGGTAGTCGGCCCTGTGGCTGCTTTTGTAGTACCATCTTATTTGTTGCCATTCTCAGCCTCAACTCGTTTTTTGTGACTAAGATATTTGATGTGCATATGCGCCTATTCAGGAAAATGGAAGATAAAAATAAAAAAGGACACCCGTAGCGGTGATGTGTTTCCTCATCTCGGCAGGACATATCACACCAAGCCACGATAGCACATACTCATAGACCATGTCAGAGTGCGACTCGCCCAACCCAACGGAGCCTCCCGCCGTGGGTACGGCAACGGCTTGACGCGGAAGTCTAAAGCCACTGCCTTGTACTCCCGGCGACCTCCCTGGGCGCCAGCCGCGCTTTCGCATCACAATTATGCTTGTCATTTGTCTGTGGAGAACATGGCTGGATTAAAACTTGGGGACATAACATTTCCAAGTACCATGTCAGAAAAGGCAGGTCTCGGAAAGGAAAGAAAGAAAGAAGCCACAACTCTTCTAGCATGGCCCTTAGGGCTGGAACCCAGAAGCGCGCCAAGCACCGTCACCAGGTGATTCTTTGTGGCTGAAGTGTGCAACTTGCAAGCCTGCCACTCAGAACCACCACAGGGTTGGTGGCAGCATGATGCGGGGTGCAGGATCCTAGTGCAACACGCAGTTCGTCAAGTCGTCGGGTCGTTGCCGGTGCTTCAGCCATCGTTGGACCGTCATGGCCGTGATTGGTTCCGGCATCAGAGGCGGCCGATGACGGTCACGCGTTGACTCCTCCTTGATGACGGCGACAATACGAGAAGGACCTGAAGCGCGCGAATGCCGGAACTATGACCCTGTCCTACGGCCATCCTCCCTCGCCACGAGAACATCATTGCGGTGCAAGTTATACCACATTATTCATTAGGCACGCTAGATGCCGTAGGGTAATGCGACGGATTCCGCTCGTGGCTTCTTGCAGTGGCTGACTCAGAATTGGCAGCTACCAGCTAGTTTGGGCGATGAATCTTTATTACAAGATTCATTCTGAGGATGGGGGAGGTATTGTACCATATTACAATTCAAAGAGTACCGAGTACACAAAAGGCTTTGAGTCTCGCAGCTGCTCCGCAGACCGAACCCACGTTGAGCATAAACCCAGAACAAGAAAAGACTCGGTGTCCTCCGAGTGTCGTAAGTTTTCCGTGGAGAAATAAAATCCCAAGAACTTGCCAGAGCCCTAATTGAAAGAGAGGTAAAACAATAAAAAACTGATGAGTCGTTCAGGGCTGAATCAGGCGTTCATGAGTGGTGTTTGTATGACGGAGAGTAGCGCTGACCGAGAACAACCCTTTCCCCTACTGGTTGAAGCCAACCATGAAAAGAGCCATGGCTGCATTTGTGTTGCCCAATGTTTGACGTCTCTACTGAGCATTTCGACTGACTGACTGGAGAAGCCAAGGCGGCTTCAGCTAGCCACGGGTGCCAAGCTTGCTCATGTCGGACATTTGCATCGTGTCGTAGCACGCCAGCCAGCGAAGACGAGCCACACAAGCGGATACCATCGAAACCGGAAGACCTAATATGGATGGATGCACGTTGGTGTAAGCTTAAACCGTGGCATTTATGCGACAAAAAAAATAGAGGTTCAATGTAGCTGGGCTTTGCCTACGTCTGCGGCCCATGGCATACGCACCCAATAAACTCGACGGCAGTATGAATCTTCCCGCCACGGCACTGTGAGTTGCGCCATTCCAGCCGTGGTGCCCTGGTATTGGACTGGTTGGGTGGGAGAGAGACAGCACCACGCAGAAGCAGAAGCAGCTCCCATCACCATACGAAGCACTCGATAGTTACAGAAGATCTTCTTCAATGTGCTCAGTACTACTCCGTAGTGACCATATCATAACAGGGTTGAACCTGGTGCGTTTGTGCGGCGGCAGGTTGGCAAGGGATGCCCAGGCTTGATCAACTTTTTTATTCCGACGGAGGATACGAAACGATCCGAGGCGGCATCGAGTTCCTAGGTTTCTTCCTCATATGTCAGTCCGTATTTGACCAGGTCTCCATGCTTGACGTTGGCTCGTGACAATAATCTGGTCTAAGGGCATTTTGAGAGCACTTGCCACTCTATCATGCATGAACTCTGCGACTGCCTGACGTCGCGAACGGGGGCCTTGTCTGCAGTCAATCGGCATCAAACCGAACTGCGTAGGAGACCACCTGCAGGTATGCGGCGAGAAGATTGAGCACCAAAAGCAGCAATCCATGAATATCGATTGTAAAAAGATGGCATTCTGAGTCCGCATATTGCGAAATGCAAGAATCCTTGAAGGACCCAGTCGTGCTCTGTGTCTTACTCTGGGCCGGATGGCACAATATCAAGACCCGAATAGTCAAGTCGATGAACATCAATCATGTGGAGAGGTCAACATGTTCATGGTGGATGGAGAGATGATGCCAACTGCCGCGCAACTGTGGCGACGATCAGCGGCTGGAGGGGGGCAGCTGGAGAAGAGCAGGTTGGAGTCTGGTTTGCTCCTGCCTCCCGAGTCCTTATGCAAGGCGCAACAAAGGACCAAGGATGTGAGAGTACTTGACATGATTGAACACCACTATACTCTTCAAGGCATTCCAAGACTCACTCCGTGTTGAAGTTTGGTCCGCTAGACTCGAAACTCGCCCTTCCCACTCCATCTCGATCTGATGTTTCTCGCTACCAAGTGTTACGGCCGATGCGCCCATTGTGCTCGTCTAAAGTACGAATCAGACATGGTCCATGCATCATTGGCATACTGGCGACAACAGGCTTCAACCCCGTGTGCACGCGCAGAGTCTACAGCCTGTTTCTGCCCAGGATGCCTCCTTAGCAGTGGCAGATGGCGAATGACTGATTGGCCTTGGTAGGTGGGTGCGTAGCAGCAAAACTGGGCCATGCTGGGCTGCCATCCGCTGACGCAATCATAGGCAGGACTTGCCGGGATTTTGGGTGATATTTCCTGCAGCGAGTGGAATCTGCAGCGACGACCTGAACCACCTCGACCTCACGACAAACACAGATGTGATGCCGCCATTCATGAGCCGCGTGAGATGGCACCAAATCTTGTCTCGGGCTACGGAGTTGGGAGTGTCCCACACACACGAACACCTACCACATGCTGCATGCCTAAGTTTGGGTGGCGAAAGTAGTAACTGCAAGTCCTATCATGAGCAATACCATTCGGTTCGCATGCTATCGCCTTATCCCTGGCCTCGCACACATGTATTTACTATTTATGAAGAGGCCAGTGGCAGTGTAGGTTCCCATTGGTTGCCTGTCTATGGGAAACGACTTGGTACAACCGCCCAAAGGGCCACGCCATGTCCTCGCCACGGTTGTAGCCGCTGCGCACCGCGCGGGATGGGCCTCAAGGGACAAAAAGGCAAAAGGGAACAGCCCTCCCACTCCTCCCGCCAAGAGGCAGGCTAGCAGGCTCCAATCAGACCAGACACAAGGCTGGTGTGACAATGTGAGCTGAAGCGCGTCCCAGACCATGTGGTGGCTTTTCCTGACCGCTGTGATGGAGAGAAAAGAGCAGACTACAACTGCTACTACTACTGCGACGACGACGACGACGCATGTCACCTACGGTACCGGTTCTCTGGAGCGAAAGCACGCTAAACTTAGACCACCACCACTACGAACCTGGCCACTTGGATCTACGTCAGTCGCAGCGCCCGCCCGTGTCTCATTCCAGACGATCTTGGGCCCGGGTTGAGGGAGGCGTTCGATATTTCACGTTGGTTTTCGGTAGCCGTCTAGTTATGCGCTGAATGGCGGCTAGGTTCTTCTTGGGTCGATCAAGGACATGGTAAGATGTACGTTGGTCGGATTCTCCGGATACGGCAGCATGGCATCCAGAAATGGAATTTATTGCCCAGCTGGCTATGAAGCCATCATGTTGCCGGCACTAGCCTGGGTATTACAATTCTAGACACAATGACAAGACCAGCATGACCGCTTTGGGTCCGGTGGATACGGTCGGTCCGTATTCCATAGCATCAACCAGCTTCAGGATGGGATACGCCCACACACAAGTCGTTACTTCAGGTTGCAGCAGAAGTCAGTTGAGTCTCCTTGGTGTCCGGTTTGTCTCGCTAGCTTGGCCTGGATGGTATGCAGTCCAGGCTGCAGAACTTGCCGTGATGGATTCGGTGTGGTGGATGCCTGGTGGCAGGCAAGACCATGATCTGAGGCATGATGTGTAAGGTGTGGGTGCCGAGAGAGTTGGTGATGTGCGTAGCCATAAGAAGGCCACCTCCCATGTTGTGGTGTTCCCGGTCTTTTTGGAACTATCGAAGTAATGGCCAGATATTGTACAAAAAACTGGCGATACTATGTGTGAAGTCATGATTGAATAAGACGACTTGCAAGGTAAGTTTTTCCACGATTAGTTCTTGTTCCAAACACAGGTTGCTCCCGCACTTTTTGTTGAATTTTGTCTATGATGTGCAACTCTTCTTCCTCGGCTCCCATTCCGACAGCACAGAATTACCAAGTGTCTCCTCCCTGACATTTTACCAGATTCAACTCCAAAAGAGACTTTCAAAGCAAGGCCAAGGTGAAGCGCGTGACTTTGACTGGCGGCGGTTGCTGTCAGGTCGTTGATAATTGGGGTTCGAGGAGAGGCAGTCCAACCGTGAGCAAATATTTTGCAAGTTTCTATTTTACCCCACGTCCGTTTCAGTCATCGCGGAATAAGATATGATAGACGCATTACGATCAAGGGGTTTTTAGATGTTGGTATTACTCCGTATTTCGCACAGAAAGCCACGGGCAACAAAAGATAGACGGTTGCAACAACGAAGGATCCAGCCCCCAGTCCCTTGGACGCTCGAGCGGCCAAGATAACTATTCGGCAGGCTTAACGCAGCTTTCAGCCAGGCGGGATCCGTTGCTGCTACTACTACATACATAGATCTGGTCAATCTGCACGTTGCGTTGCACAGAGATTGTGTATCACGCATATTGTCTCAGGCAGGGGAGTCGTTGATATCCGGCACAACCAGGCAGCTCTCGGCTGAAGGGAAAAGAAAGAGAAGAAGAAGAAGAAGAAGAAGAAACAAGTTGCACAGACAGTGGGCGGCACTTTGTCGATTACCAGCGCATCGGGCACGAAACAAGTCAAAAGTCTCGAGCTGGTGCAAGGTGTCAATCAATCAATTGATGAGCAGGCCAGGCACTTGAACATTCAAGACATCTGGGATCTACAGTTACTGCAGGCGCTGCAGTTGACGCTTGGGTGGTTGAGCTTGCAGCGCTCGAGCCGCCAGACAGACGCCAGGCCTCGGACTACACTGTCACCTCAGCACCTGAGCACCAGACTCCAGGTCACCAGCCCCCGAGGTCACCAGCCACTCGCTACGCAGCCAGGCAGGCACCTTGACTCCGGCCAGGCTATCCAGTCACCACTAGCCACACCAGAGTCACCTGTCAATTCTGGGTCGCCCGTCATCAATCAATTGATCCGTCGTGATGGATCGTCTCTCGGCCATGTCCCCTCACTCCACTCTGAGCGCCGCCTCGCCAGGTTTTGCTCCCTTCCCCTCCATGTCCTTGTCCACGTCCGGCCTGGCACCTGGACTTCCTCCGCCTCCTCTTCTCTCCCCAAGCTCAGGCTCGACTTGGACTTCGACTCGGACTTGGACTTCGACCTCGACCTCGACTTCGACTTCAAGTCCAGGCAAACGGCCCTCGTACACGCGACATTCCCTCCCCGCCGCAGCCATGCCCGAATACCGCCACGTCCGGAGCGGCAGCCTGAACATCCCGAATGGCGCTGCCTCAAACACCTCGTCCTCCATGATGCCGCGAAGCCCTCCGAGTATGTGCCCGAGTTGCCATTTTTTTTTTTAATTTTTGGTTTTCCCGAGGCAAACCCGCCTTTTCCAATGCCGTGCGGCATCGCATCCCAGAGTCCCGCCCCCACCACCTCACCCTCTTTTATCGCCGCATCGCCGCACCCCATCCCGTCGTGCCGCTGACGGGACAGCCTCGTGAATGACAACCAAGATTAAATCCCGTGCTAATCAGTCTTCCTCGATCTGCTACAGATACCTCTCACGTCCCGTGCAAGTTCTTTCGCCAAGGTGCCTGTCAAGCTGGCAATGCCTGCCCCTTCAGCCACGACCTCGGAGCCGCAGCCGAAAACATCTGCAAGTACTTTGCCAAGGTACGTCTCCAGCGTGAGGTTATAGCTTTGAGGTTATTACTGTTTTCTGCGAGTCTGGCCTCACCCGGGCTCCGTCTATCATCTCCCATCTTTTGCCTTTGCGGACCAAGTTAGAATCACATATGAATGGACTAACATGCTTCCTCTCTAGGGCAACTGCAAGTTCGGTCCCAAGTGCGCAAACATCCACGTCTTACCCGACGGTCGACGAATAAACTATGGTAAAACTGGTGTCACCATAGCTACAGCTCCCATCGGCCTTGCCGGTCGGCCCTCGCCCAACCCTGCGTCCCCGAATTCTGGGACCTCAACCGGTTATCACCAGTCGTCTGCCAGTGCCCTGACAACCTCGCTCTACAGCGCCGAGCAGTCTCCATGGGATGACCGCCAGATTGCCAACCCTGCTAGCCACCCGGGACACCAACCCAGTCTCGACAATGGCATTCCCTCCATCGACTCTCCGTATGGCCACTCCAACTACGGCTCACCTCGCGAGGATGATCCCACTCGCCTTGGCTTTGGGCTGTCCCCTGCAAATGGCAAAGGACTATCCATCCTCGATGCTCCCCTGCCCGCCTCTTTCGACTCCAATGGCATCTCCAACGCCGCCCGCTTCCCCGCCGCGCCGTGGCCGTCATCTGTGCCCTCAAAGTTCGGCCTCGAGTCCCCCACAGCCTCGCTTAGCAATGCCAAAGACTCGCGAACCTCGGAGACGCTGAAGCTACTGCACACCTCGGCCTTCGGCTCGTCGGAGCACTTGAACCCAACCGCCAGTAGTCCGCCCAACTCTCAGTCTGCTATTGGCGATGAGTATTTCGGCAAGCGAGCCATGCACTCGTCTAGATATGCCAAACCCCGCATGCTTAGTTCCAGCATGCCCAAGGCATCGTCAGTGGACCGTGACTGGGAGGCCGAGTTTGCCTTTGACGATGACAATTTACCCGAAAACTACGTTCCCGAGAACCTGCAAGAACTCTTGACGCCTGCTGAAAAGGCCAGGCGAGGCTCTAGCTCCATGCGCGATGAACACGCCATCGAGGCTCTCAAGTACGGTAGCCCAATGGGTACCAGCCCAAGCCGCTGGGGATCGCTGTTCCAGCGCCAAAAGGAGGAGGAAGACGCAGCCAGGGCAGCACGCAATGTTGGCTCAGCTTTTGGCCATGTGGGCAGCCCTTTGAGAAGGTCCACCTTGGCCCAGGAAATAGGTGACGACTACAAGAGCCCAGGGACATCCGGCCGTCTGTCCGCGGGCCGCTCTACGAGCGAGTCCATGTCAGTTCTCTCACAACAACTGCAGCGCAGCCGATTGGACGACGCCATCAGCGGCTCGAGTTCCAGCCCTCACCTGCATCCTACTACCGCACGACTGCCATCCAGTAGTCTTGCGCCGATTGGCAAAGATCGGGCCATGGAGCGCCATGTGTCTAGCGGAAGCATCAGCTCGTCCGTCACTGGTCGCTTCACTACTCCGATTGACGAGGAGGACCCAGCATTCGTCTTCAGCATGGAAGAGGAAGATGACGCACCTACAGCGAGGATGCGCAAGCGAATATCTGCCGGCCTGAGTATGGGTCCATTGGGCAGCTATGCCAGCGCAGTGGCAGGCAAGAACCAATCCAACAGCAGTTCCAAGGAGAACAGAGATTCAGTGCCGGTCAACGGACGCTGATTGGCATCCCAAAACATTATTTTTTTTATTTTTTTTTTACCTGGGCGTTTGACGATTTTGATGCAACATGCATTAGTTATAGCGAATAGAAGTGGCGTGAAAGGTCCACGCGGAGATTTTACGAAGCTGCATAACAATGGCATACATGCTTTACACGCTCTGAAGCAATTCGTCGGCAGCAAGCGGCACCATACACACACACAGCCCGAGCACCTTGACTGGCCAGGACGACAGGGGAATAATGATGGGATACCCAGCAAAAAAGAGCAGAGACGTAAAAATAATGCAACGGAACAACATATCAAAGGTGCTTAAAAATTTGAGTTTGGGATACAGGCGTGGCCGGTTTTGCTTTCTTTTTTTTATGTTTTCTGTCATTTGCTTCTAGTCATTATTATTGGCTTGGCTTTGGTTGGTCTACTTTTTCTTGTCTTCAAGGTTGATTTGATTAAAACTTGCACTGGAACGGCCCGCGTCGGACAAGATGCTCTTGTAGTCCTAGAAAGGAAGGCGTTTGACGGCCAACGGATCTAGCGCATACTGGAGGGAACTATTGTGGTTGGTATTCTCTTGCACTTTTCTTCTGCTCTCTTTGCTACACTGTATCCAGGGAGGCGGCGCCAACCACCATTGGCGTCATTTTATACCAAAGTTGCTACACGTCTTTTTTTGTTCTTGTACGATGCCTGTGTCCTGTTTCTGTTTTGAGAAGATTGGGGTAGTTCCCAACGGTCATAACGTCTTGATCACGGGTGTCTCCGTGGCAGTGGTTGGCGCGGATCATACTGCTCGGGTGCTAGGAGGGTGGGTGTATGAGTGACGGTGGATGGTGGGTTTGTATTGTGCTGTCTGTGTCTGTAGCTGAGCGGAATAAAGAGAGCTACTTTTTCTCGTCAAATGTGTCCCTTTGTGTAGATTTACGAGTCGACGTGCACGCCTGGCAACAAAACGCAGCCAGGTCGGGCTCGTGGAGCGAGTGTACCGTGGTGCAACGCTGCCCTGGCAAGTCACCTCCAGCACGGTAATCAGTGTAGAAATAAGAAAAGCCACTCTGCACCGCTGGCTGTTGAAAACCAAGAAAAGAAGCGAGTTCAGCTTGGCGAAAAAAAGAAGCAAAAATGTGTATTCCCCTCTTTCTATAAAACAGTACATCCCCCGAGTTCCCGTCCACCCATGAGCTGAGATAATAGTACAGAGATTGCGACGTGCGATTAGTGAGCATCGGGTTGGCTGAGAATGTACTCGACTGCCTTGTCCACTGCGAAACCGTCAGTATGGGCTTCCCCCGTATTGAGCCATCGGGGCAGTTAAGAACGCACCAGAGTGGATGGAGTCGGCGTCCTTGTCGGGGATCTCGATGCTAAACTCCTCCTCTATGGCCATGACTACCTCCACCGTGTCCAGAGAGTCGAGGCCCAGGTCGTTGGCGAAGTGGGCGACCGGCTTGATCTACAATGGATGTTAGTCTACGAGGACATTCGAGGGGTGGTCAGGTGCGTTTTCGTACATTGGCAGTGTCGTTGACCTGGGCGAGTTAGCGAACGTGTACTAGAGGGGGAAAGGGGGGGCGTACCTTGTCGAAGCCCTGCAGCAGGCTCATGATGCGCCCTTCTACCTCTTCCTTCTTCAGGCCGCCGGCGGCTGAGTACATCCTCACGCCGAGCATTTTGGGCACGGCGGCAGCTCGGGGTAGGGCGATGCGCGCACTGAGCGGTGCGGCGGCCAGCGGGCGAGCGGCGCCGCGGGCGGTGCGGAGGAGGGCGGTGCGGAACATGGTCAATTGAATGATGGCTTGGGGGGGACAAGAGCTGAGAGGTGACGTGATGATAAATTTCTCGGTGTTTTTGAGGTACGGAGGTCGGGAGCTACGCCTTAGAGAACCTTGAAAAAAGAGGGTCACGTGAATGCTGGATTGGGGTGTTGCTGATTGGGCCGGTGGATGTGCCTGGATTCTGGGGCGAATCGATTTGGGGCTGTTGCAGGCGGGAATGGAGGCGGGGTTTAAATGGCTTGGGGAGTCTTTTTGATGGCTTTATTTTGAAATCGGTAGAGGAAAGACGATATGGGAGGTGAGACATGGGACTGGATGCTGAGTGGTGAACTGCGTGATGTTGTTGCACTTGGGAAATTCGAGGAAGTTTTTGGTGTTGTTTGGTGGTGAACTCCATAAAGCGCCAGTATTTCTCTGGTATTGTGTGAACCGAATATGTGTCGAAAACGGAGGTAATATCTCGAAGCAGACACAGCGGCTTATGCAAGTTGCAGAAGGCGATAAAACATGGATACACCACTACACGCGTTGAACAAGGTGCGGCGGCATCACATTTAGACACTTGTTTTGGGGGAAAATGTTAATCTTATGTACAACTTTTTCTACCGCCCGGCCAGCCCCTCCCCCCAAGATACTTCTACATGAACAAAGGGAACGGTGAAATAACGCTGTCAAGTGTGGTTAGATTATCGGTAGGGCGCATCCGCGCGAATGGCAGCCGCCAGCTCAGGCTCCCACTTGTCTCCGTTGGACAAAAGCTTCTCTGCAGCAAAAAGGATCAGCAAACTAGCTACACGGGATGCATGTGCTGAGTGGTTCAACCTACCCTTGTTGTACAGCAACTCTTCTCTCGTTTCGGTGGCATACTCGGCGTTGGGGCTCTCCACAATAGCGTCAACGGGGCACGATTCCTGGCAGAAACCGCAGTAGATGCATTTGGTCATGTCAATGTCGTAGCGGGTTGTTCGGCGGGATCCATCGGCACGCTCTTCAGCCTCAATTGTGATGGCCTGGGCTGGGCAGATCTACAATCCGTTAGTTTCTAATGAACTTGAGAGATTCAGGCGCGGTTGTTTATTGATGGATACGTACAGCCTCGCACAGCTTGCAGGCGATACAACGCTCTTCGCCAGAAGGATACCGTCTGAGGGCATGCTCTCCACGGAATCGGGGGGAAATGGGTCCCTGCATCGTGTCAATTGAAACCGTCGCCATGTGTAAACGGGTAGGGCTGTCCAATTAGTTTTCATCATACCTTCTCGAAGGGATAGTAAATGGTGTATCTGTCCGCCACCGGTCAGCTTCACGAAAAACAAGGCAGTTCGAGCCTCGAGGACTCATGTCTCATTGGCAATCCACATACGGAGGTCGGAAGAACTGTTCCATCAAGACGTACATGCCTCTCGCCATCTCGGTCAAGAGGAAGTACTTGCCCAGCCGGTCCAGCGTCTTCTCCTTGTCCCACGGCCACTCGGTGTGCCTGCTCGTGCGGAAGTTCTTGGGGGGCGGGCCCGCGGGTGTAGCGTATCCTCGCGTCTGGTGTTGCTGCGCAGCCATGAGCCGGCTGGCCACGACTACCAGCGAGCTGGTGGTGCTCGGAGCTCCGGCGAGCTGTCTTCGCGCGAGCATGGCCGCAGAGGCATGCAGAGCCGGCGCCATTGGGTGGACAAGATCAATTCGTTGTCGTAAACGGCCTTGGTCGGCAATTCGACGAGGCAGAGTTGGGGGGTGTGGCCAACTTGGAGAAGAGAAGTCAGGTGGCGATTGGGGAAACGGCCCAGCGACGAACGGTTTGATGTGATGGATTTCTTTGCTCGACTTGGGAGGCTCGTTACTGCGGGATTACATTGTTCGGGATGTGATTGGTGGTTGCGGTACGCGTGATGATTCACGTGACCTCCATGTCTTCCCTGAGGTGGACCGAGGATGCTGGAGTCAATACCAATTGCCGACAGGAGCAGTAGAGCACTTCAAAGACTGTCTACAATGGTGGAGATTTTTTCTCTCCCTTACTACTCTCCATCTTCTTCATTCAACGTCGCTAAGAGCTCTTTTCACACCGCAGGCAAATAATCACGTCTTGACGTTTCGTTTCGCAAATTCTCCCCGCATCAAAAGCTCTGCTCTCAGCGAAACCCGTGCCCACTTTCTATTTTCGGCTTGCAAAACTATTCCTATTCATTGATTTTGCCTTTCATGATCCTATAAATTGCAAAGGATTTGACCAAAGTCTTAACTCTTCGTCGCAGGAGGCTAATACTAAGGGAATTAAGTAGTCTAGGGTAGCTTGGTTGCTTGCTGCTTGCTGCAAATAAGCTCCCCCTACTTGGTATGGAGGATAGTCTTATGAAATACTTGCTGATACCATAACTGGAGTGTTGAACTCGACTGGCGTGGAATCTAGAATAAGGAGAAGAGCTTACATGAAACAAACAGCATACAGCGGCTTGGAAGAAAGGCTCCCTCCGCAGGTGCTCTGGTGATTGGGGGACCCTCACGATGGACACATTCTGCTGCTACATCGATGTAATCCAAGTGAACCATTTTGTGCAACAGAAAATCAGGCCCAGAGACCCGGCGATCCAACTGATAAATGCAAGCGTGGCTACATATCTGTGAATGAGATGTGAAGCCGAAAAGCCATCGTCTGCGCCTTACAAAGTTTTTGATTGCTGTATTGAGATGTGTAAATGCAAGAGATATGCCATAGTAAACACGGAATGTGAAAACCATACAGACTCCAAGGTTCAGTGTCATCATATTTCTCATTAGATGCCTTAACATCACGCTATGCAGCTACGCTGACTACAAATAATGCTAAAAAAAGAAAGCTACCACAACAAACCAGGCCTTTGAATTGCCGGCCAAAGCAAAGTAAACCACACCACAAGACCACCTTTCCACTTAAACTCCGGCTCCAATCTTGAACATCTTTATCGTAAAAAGGGCAAGTCAACTGTGATCTTCGATGGATGGAAACGGAATCTGCGCCTCAGAGACATGCTTCTGTTCAGTGGAAGCGGGAGCAAACTTCTCCCAAGTTCTCCAAAATACTCCAATGTTGGCTGCCACTAACAGATCAAGCATCTTCAAACCATCGTCATAAATAGTTAACGTGGCCAGTTTTGCTTCCCTGCCATTTAGACCGCCGCCGGCTCGCTCAGCCCCAAGGCTAGTGAAGGATGACTCGTAGCGAGAGTCAGAGGGAATATTGCTCTTTCTCGATTTGCTGCAGCAGTCTATGACCTTTCCAAGTACTCCCGTGGGTCCCTTGGCTTGGACCGGTGAAAGCGCAAGATTGTAACTCAGCGTACTGATCAGTGTGGATTCCGAGTGACTAGTTTTGACCAGGGAATTGCTGTAGACGGTGGCCGTCGCGGGGGGTATGTAAAAACACTGGAGACTGTTTCCATGTTTCCCCGTTGAGAAGTGACATTGGCCCTCCCATGGACTGACAAATGTGTATCCGCGGGCTTTCATGCCCTCTGGCGGCGATCCGAATGTACAAATGGTGTCTGGCTTTACAGCAGTGTCGCTTTTGTACGATGATACCGATGCAGCGCTGTCACTTCTGTTACGTGTCAAATTCCTGGCGAACTCCTTCGCGTTCGTCAACAAAGAATTGGAGTAGTTCATGGCGACTCGACGATAGAAGGCCTCCTTGTTTCCGTACATTGAGCTTTGATGATCCATGCTCCCTCGTGCCGTGGACCCAGCTGCAGCTTTCAAGTCGCCGCTTTCCGTCGGGCTATATTTCCTGACACAATGCTCGCGAAATTTGGCGTATCCAGATTGTATTATTTCAATGTCTATTGGGTGATGCTGCATTGGACTTGTGGTCGACGTTGAAGCCGTGTCGCCATCTCCCGAAGACGATTCTAGCTCGGGCAGCCTAATATATCCAACTGTCCACTTCTGGGCGGCGGGATTTTGTCGGGTCAACGTCAGCGTCAGAGGCATATCAGTAGAAGCTGTGCTGTGCTTCCGTGGAGACGGAGATCTGCTGTGGGCTTGTGATATAGGCTGTGAGTTTGAAAGGGAGCTTTGATTGGCAGAGTTAGTAGGTGGTAGAGATGTATCCGGCCGAGGCACTGAAATTGAATTAATACAGTGCGTTTGCGTATTCCCAGAAGGCTCTTGTGGATCAGAAGAGTCTTTTGATACGATTTGAGCGGAAGCCGATGTTTCGGTTGATGTCCTAGGCGAAGACTGGGACCCAACGGGCTTTTTCGGCGGCATAGCTGTGTGCAATCCATAAAGAGTCCGTCCTGGAGCTTCTATTGCAGAGGGCTGGTGGCTTTGACTTGCACTTGGCGAACTTTCGGGGGTCAGTGGACGGTCCGAGCCACCAACAGGTCTTCGTGGAATGATCGACTGGGGGAGCCGGCGGGTGTCCTGGCTAGATCTGCATTCGGCTTCACCTCGAACTGGCGCAGGGACAGGATTGTCTACATGCACCAGATACAGAGCGCTTTTGACATCCTCGGCCGAGACGACCCTCTCGTTTGGTATAACGGGGGAGAGAATGACAACTGCGCTTGAATATCAGCTATGAAGCAGGGATGACGTCTTTGAACAATGAAAAGACTACCGTTTAACCCCACCACACGTGAGATGTACAAAACGAGGGGGTCCTGCTTCTTCGCCCCCGCAGCTGATTCGAAGTATTGTGGTGGATTATTTGCAGTATCGTTGATATCGCTTAAAGACTTGGCCTCGATGGCTTTGGCCATGGCGTTGTCCGCCTGTGAGCCAGTAAGGGCTGGTGTAGATGTAGATATTGCGAGACTATCGTGATGTTGTACGTTGGATGCGCTGACGCTAGGAAGGTACGCGTTCACGGAGTCGACGTTGTTGGAATCACAGTTGATGCGTGACCGGAGAGAGGGTGATGACGACGGCCTTGCGCTTTTGAAGACGACGCGGAAGGATCTAGGAAGACAAACAGACGCAGAATTGAGCACGTCACAGGCACAAGGAGGAAAAAAGAAATACAAAGAAAAAAACCAAAAAGATAAATAAAGAAAAGAAAAGAAAGACGACTACCAGAAACTATTGTAACAGGGTCGTGGCCAAGAGAAAAAAAACAAAAGCCCGCCCCGTGCCATGCAGATCAATGCCAACTGGTTCAGAGTCATTGTTTGCTCCCGCCACATGCAGGAAATTGATTAATGGCCAGGGCCCAGGGTGGGTGCTGCGGTGCTGCTTACGTCACTGCCATCCCGCCAACCCCAGACAGCAAGTGCTTCCTGTGCGCCTCACGCGGGCGCTCCTTCCTTCAGCGCATTACCTCATTTCCTCAGTACGCGAGGCAAAACACAAAAACGTAAAACAGCAAAACGACAAACCATCAAAGCAATCCTGATTTCTGTGCCGATTCCGGGCGGCCCGCATCATCCTTTCGCATCATGACCGAACGCGACGTTAGAGTTTGAAAGAGAAGAAAGAAAACACGACACATCAATGGGCCGAACTGCCGAACGCCTTAGTATGCTGCCGTATGGTGCGGTGAGCGAGCCAAACAAACCCTCGACGCCATTCACCAAGTTTTCTTGACTCAACCTCATGTTGTAGTGTTTTGGGTTCCACATGGAGTCCAGGACCCCCGAGATTGACGAGTGGATGCATGGCAAAAGCTCAACGTCAGCTTCTGGGGCTGTGCCAGCTACCTTGGCCAGCCAACCCAGCGCATGTTCCAAGCCCCGACGTGCCGCTGCCGACATGTTGTTCTTGACACGTTCTTCATGTCTGTACCACCGCTGCCAAAATTACACGAACCGAGTCACATCTTACACTACTGCCGAGTACCGAGTACGCAGTACTACGCATATTAATAGATGCCCATGCTGGCACGCGGGAGTGTCTTGGTACCGCCTCAAGTTTCTTATTCTGTCCATGGTCCTAACAATAGATATCTGCCATCGACACCCGATCCCATGACATTGATTCGCGGTGACACTGGCTCTGCTCTGCAGTCTCTGCTCTACCGTCCAGCATCGACTCATCGCGTGATATTAAATCATTGCGCAATCCCTGCTTGACTGCCTGACGCACAACCTGCTGTACCCACTCGTTTCTTCATGCGACCTCAGATTCGCGACGTGGCAACGGCCCAAAATGCAGCCCATGGGCCTTGGATCTGCAGGGTCCTACTCCATGGAGCTTTGACAACAGAGCAATCTATGCTGTAGTAATAGCGTAGTACGGGTCTCAGATTGGTCATCATGCCGTCCTTCGGGACGGGAAAACCCCAGATGTGGCCTCTCCCACTTTGCTGTTTCTGACCCGCCAACGAGGCTGTTGTCGTTGTGACATGGCTCCCAGTCAAGGCGAATCGAAAGATTTCTTGCTTTGCCTTGTCGCTTGGCGCATGGATTTGTTCTAGCTGTCAAAGTGCCTGCATGAATTCAAACCCACACCCACCTGTCAGCTCCTTTTCATGACATTCGGTTTTCTCCCAGGGGCACACTTTGGTGGAGTAGAGGCGGCTGCAGGCACACACCAGCAGGAGAGCGAGTCAAAGACACTTCTCTACAGACAATATGGCTGTTACATTGTGGCCGTTTTCACGCTGTTCATCCCGCATGTTTCATCACGGCTTGTTTCATACCATATGACGATTATCCGCCAGAATGGAGAAGCCATTGTCGTTTGCCCAATACCGTCATGTCATTTATATAAAATCCCTGCCAATGGGGATTTTTCTGCAGTGTTGAATTGAAAGCTGTCGGTTTAGTCCCTTGACAACCACGGATGATGCGGTTGTCTCCTCTGAAGCATTTGACAAACGAAACTAGTTGAGCTGGTTCTCATCATAAACAGTATACGACAAGCCGCTAAGCAGAAGACTCATCAGACTGCATTCTACTTGGCCAAAGACGTCGCGACCGTAACGTACGACGTCTTCCCACATCCCGCAGGGCAATGCCCGCCGCACTCATATGCAGTCCGGCTCGTCGCAGGCGGGTTAGGACATCCATGGCCAACAGTAACATACTCGGTCGACACACACTCCAGAGTACGGCAAGTAGAACAGACCACCACGGTGTATGTGACGGCTCCGCACGAGGGCTTGGGCGAGACAGCTCTCGGCGCCTCAGTGATGCGGGCGGGAGGAGACACGAATTCGTAGGAAGTGGACGCACATCCGCCTGGACACTTGGTCTCGGCGCAGGAGTACGCCGTGGTGGTAGTCGGCACGGGAGATGGGCAGTCAGAGAAGAGGGTGATTGTCTCGATGGAGAGGCACTTTAGCTGGCGGCAGGTGCTGCAGACCGTGGCCGTCGACGTGACGGATTTGCAGTGCGCCTCTGTGTGCGCCCCGAGAGACACTCTGTCTTTGCTTAATGATGTTTTCACGTCTTTATCTGTCGTGTGAAGGAACTTACCCGGCGAGAAGGAGCACGACAGCAGTGAAGAAGCGCATTTTCGATGCGTTGAAGATGATGTGAAGCGGGAAGTCTTGATGTGTTTGCCTGGTTGGAGATTCACTTGGTGATATGTTTTGTTTAGACGGAAGCCCAGCCTTTTGTACCCTGCAGGTGGCCTCGTCTCTTCACAGATGGTTATGCCAAGAAGCGGGCGTCGTCTGATGGACGCAAGTAATACCCCGTATAACGTTAGAGGGCGTGCATAAAGGCTGGGCTGGATACATCCCGACTGGATGAACGGCTTGAGGACATAATCAGCCGAGTGGGACTGGTAGACGGATGAATATTCAGCTTTGAATGGAGCTACTTCCTGTGAATGCCGTATTTCGTATACTTTGTTGAAGCTGCTTATGATGTAGGGGGCTTTGTTGGGCGATATGACGATGAATGTCAGCTGGGGTCGGGACATGGAATAGCTCGCAACGAAGCACGCACATGGTTTGAGAATGGCTCCATGCTGTTTACTGTACGTACTTGAAGACTGGGATATATTCTCTGTGTATGCCGTGATACGAAGCGGTGTAGGCACGGTAGATGGTAGAGAATGAAAACTTTTGCTGGTAGAAACTGCACCTACCTAGAGCGCCAGCGATTCGAACCCTTAGCTTGGACCAATAGTTGAAGCCCAGCTCATTTGGACAGCGAACGTGTCGGATTTGTACTCTCGAATACTTTGTGCCACTGACACAATCCGACGTCGATGCTTACGCTCAGCTTTGGCCCGCCGCGCCTGATGGGCAGAAATAACCTCAACAGGGCGAGAAGTAGCGTCTGCACCAAGACCTGTCATCTTGGGAGTTCGGGGGCCGACTTGCTACCGGCCTGTGCTTGAACCACGTGAGACCATTACGGAGAAGTTGTGTTTTGAGCTGCATGCACGTCTTTGTTTGAGGGCTGGTTGCGTGACGCTGCATGCACGCCCGGACTTGGCACGGTTGCCCATATCGCCGGGAGTCTGTTGGCTGTTCTCCTTCTCTTGGATTTTCATCGTTCCAAGTTGTCTTGTTCAAGGAATTTCATCCTTTCACAAGTTTATATGAATGTAGTCCTCTTCCGCGACTCCAGTGCGTGTGTAAGACTGGACTTGGAAACCACTTGTTGATCTCTGAACGAGTGAGAGGCCGGACCAAGTCCCTTGACATGGCAGAAACTGCGAAAGTTGCTACACACGCGGCGGGTAGCTGTACGCCTGTTGCGCGCAGAGACTGAACATGCCGTGGCTAGTTGGCGAACGGCAACAAAAACGGCGGCCGGACTGGCCACATGCCATTTCACCGCTCGCTCAGACTGAGTATTCATGAGTAACCAAGGACGAATCACTGATGAAACGAGTCGGCTCTTGCAGAGATCTCAAACTATTTAATGACCTTGATCTCGGCGGTTTTTGAATCTTGGTTTCTGCACCTTGCATCTTCTTCTTGACAGAACCAAGCCAACTCTCACCAGCAACCGAGTCAAACTCTCAATAGCAGCCAAGCCGACTCTCAACGGAATCCAAGTCGACCCTCTACAGCAATCACGTCAACTCTTCGCGGAGACCAAGAGCCTTTTGCTACACCCACCATCACTCGAACAGCCAGCAAACCTGCTTAATCCACAACGACTTTCCATCAAGGGACAAGATGAGCGACAATATGAGCGACAAGACGAGCGACAAGACGAGCGACAAGACGAGCGACAAGATGAGCAGCGAGTTGAGCGACAATTTTATGAATGGCTTAAAAGCTTTTTTTCGTATTCTTTTATCTGCCTGCGGCATCCTCGTCATCATTTTCGCAGCCCTTCTTGGCGTCGCGGGAAATCATCTCGCACTCAGCTGCTTCTTACCCGCGGTACGTCACACTCCCCAGGCCGTCGCATATATACAGAGACTGACCTTTCTAGACTATCATTAGTCTTTTATGGAACTCGCTCGTTTTCTGGATGCTCCGCTGGGGTAAGCGAGAGCCACCCCTCATCCTTCGACGCGCCGTCGATTGCTTCATCTGCTTCACGAGCGTCGCGCTCATTATCGTGTTTGCGTTTCAGAACGACTATACAGGTGACGGAAACTTGAATATTTGCATTCCTCTTTTTGCGAGCTTGGCAGTGTAAGAGACCCCCTTTCTGGCACATCTCATTGTCGGGAAATGCTAACTAACGTGTCAAATTTAGAGTGATGACGTTTATTTTGGTTCTGATTGGAGATGGCAGGGGCATTCGCGCCATGTCAAAGGCAGCTGAGGGATCTCTCCCACGTGGAAGAGCTTGTTGAAATCTGAGCAGGTTTGGAGTTTGGATGGATGTGGCATTTGATGTGGTCTCAAGCTTTTAGAATACCGGGGAGGGTTTCCTTCTTCCCTGCCTCGTCAATTGAACAGGTATAAATTTCGCGATGGAATCATTTAATTGGCTTTATGAGGCCTAGAAAGGCCTTGTGTGAATCTGTAATTCGGATCGTAGCGCGATGTTCTGGTACGCTTTTGTGACGGGATTCGATTGCTCGTAGAAACACGCATCGGCAGCTGCCTCATGGTAGACTGTGTCTCTGAGAAATAGGCAGCAAGGCAGTGACTATCGGTGTAATTAGGTTCAGGAGAATAAGGGGACCGATTCCAGGTGTCTTGCTAGTGTTTTACTCATTGCGACGTGCCTGTTGGGTTCGTGATGCGCGATCCAGCCATTCGCGGCATTGCAGTAGCTGCGTCCTCTACTTATGTACTCGCAGGCGCAGGACACGTTGCTTTGATTTCCCGCTCTTTCGTTGGCCGCTTGAATTCCTTTGTTCTTTTGTTACGGGCTGATTATGAATCGACTTGGCTGCTTGCTGACGCTGGCATGTGACGTTGGTCATGTGGTCATTCTTGCTGCAGTCACACAGAATCGGACAATGAAGGGAGGGCGTGAAGAGGCAGTCATGTCAAAGCGAGCGATTGGGCATTGCCGTGGTCGCCCCTGAAAGATGAAACCTGGCAAAAAGCGAACGACGTTCTCTTTGTGTTGGGCAATGCACGCTTAGTAATTTGTCTGTAGCACCTCTGAGATCAAGTCTTTTCATCAGATGGAGCATAATGGCGGTAAGCTGTAGAAAGGGCTCACAAAACTTTGTCTGTTTTCCAATTTCAGCTGTACAATCGTCTTTCTTCACATGCGGCACAACGAAACCGGCCAAAGGATTGTCTCAAATCCTTTAACGGCACAAGGAGTGCCTTTGTTCTATGAGATGTGAAAGGGGTGAAAAAGATCTTCATACAACGAACAAGTCTTGGCTGCAGAAGATTCTTTGCCATCAAACAGCTTGGGTGAGGCAAACTTCTGCAGTGCAAAGAACAGCAATGTAATGAACGCTTAATGAGCCAAGGAGCCCCGGTAGACTTGTCTCAGTGAAGGAACATGAATATGTATATATATATGATAAGCGTATCGTTTACTTCTCACCATCCAAACCATAATCTCCTTCCACCTCATACCTTTCAATTTGATAAAATCGGCTCTCTACCCCCAGGCAGGCTACCACGAAGGCTACCACGGAGGCTACCACGGAGGCTACCACGGAGGCTACCACGAAGGCTACCATGTCAGCTACTATTACAGATTTTAATGATCTAATTCCTAGTGCCTATGAACTGGAAGTGACTAAGAGCTTTGTTGATTCTTGGGCATCTTCAAAAGCTTAAGTTTGACTCCTCATCAAACCCACTTGGCTACTCTTTTTGCCCTGGCAACGTACTCGGGTATTTGACCCCTTTCCCAGGTTCCGCCCCGCAAATACTGATGAAATACTTCTTGCAAGCGATCATAACACGGCTGGTCCGTTATTTCTTTTTGACGAGATGAGGATATACTCGAGGATATGACATGCTGTAAAGCACACACCTTGACGGTGGTGCTAGGACACGAGGTGAATGAGGTTGGAGATGACTGAAGGTCAAGGCAGGACCTAGACCGACGGCGTGTGCAAGTGAAGGGGATAGTATCGCCAGATAGGAAGAGGAGCTCACCTATGAGCCTGACGCAACGATGAAACACGCGGTCATTTCTACCTGGCAATGGCATTCATTCGTCTTTCGCTGTACCGGTGGCGGAACAATCCACTGTGCACCGTGACTGGGTTGTGCTTCCCACTGTTGGCCTTCAGTGGAAACAGATGGACTGTATACCACTCCATAGGCCTTGAAGATGGCCTTTGTAGTGCCATCCATCTGCGTGCCGCCACAAGCGCCCATGATCCGAACGCCACCATACATATCGATGCTGCCATCATCAGTCTTGGCAACGCTCCAGATGCTACCAGCTCCATGTAGCGACCCCGAAGTCCCCAGTGTCTGCTCTTTCCATTGCATATTTGTTGCTAGTGGTTTCTAGGACGGTAGCATGGAAGATAAGACGTATAGAAAAAAGTATGGAATGCGCGTTTCATTTCGTGCCTTGATATTCTATGAAGCTCCCGACATTTCGACCATATTGTCAAGATGACGCTCTTGTCTTGTGAGCGGCCACCACCTCGCGAACCACCTGGTCAAGATTCTCATCTTGCAGACCCAGCAACTCCATGGCGAATCCGTCCTTGCGCGTCCAGTCGGCGTCAACCGTACCCAGAACGAATACAATCTCCTCGGTAGCCTCCCCATCACCCGCCTCCAGGCGCTTGCTTTCGCGTTCCAGGAAAGCATTCGAGTCCAAGTGCTGGGTGTGCCACTTGTTGCCCGTGGCGCGCTCAAGGGATGCCAGGATCTCGAGCTGCGTCGGGCAGAAGCTCTGGACGTAGACGGCGCGGTTGCGGGTATCTTCGTGACGCTGCAGAACGCGAACTACCGACTCACCGACACGACGGAGAGTAGAGGCCGAGGCCTTGATATCGCCGGCGTCTAGGATCTGAGCCCTTTCGGCGTCTAGGTTGAAATGAAGCAGGCCGCTTCGAAGGCCGTAGTCGAAAAAGTGCCCGCAGATGATGGAGGTCCATGTAAATGGACTCGCGCCAGTCTGGTCCTCGGCTGCCATTTGCGAAAGCTCCTCGCACCTTGTGCGCACGGCGGTCTTGTCGCGGTATAGCCTCAAATGGTGCTGTGCCTGGGGACTGGCGGCATCGCAGCTGCCGTAGTCTGCCGGGATATAGCGACGGACGCCGGCGTTGAAGGCCGCTTCCACGAGTCGAAGATGCTCCGAGACATCCTTGAGCGGAAAGGCAGCAACGACGGCGTCTTGTCCCGAGAGGGCTCTGGTAAGCTCTTGGAGCTCCAGGGCGGGTGAAACGGGGATCTCGGTGACACCGGCGGGCGAGGCCGAGGATGAATTGGAGCGGCGGAGAATGGACACATCGAAGCAACCGGCTTGAACAAGCTCCCTGGTTATGACGGAACCTACTGTTCCGTTGGCGCCGATGAGGCAGACTTTTTTGATTGGTGGTGAAGACGCCATGTTGCGAGGAGACGTGAGAGTCGAGAATCGAGATGTGCCGGTGGGCGGAGGCGACGTCGCTTGAGTCAGATGCAGGAATCCGCCGTCTGCAAGCTGGTGTTGTTTTACGTGTCACACGGTGAATTTGCACCAGACAAGTTGCAACTCGGTGCAGCGTGAACCGATGCCAGGGGCCTGCATACAAGAAGCCGATCTGGTGGAAATGGTGGCAAGCCGCTGGCCGTTGCCTGCCGTTGCCATGTACATACAAGCCATGGGCGGGGGCGGGGGCGGGGGGTCGAAGCATGACGTAAGCAGCTCGACAGCCTAGGCCCTACAGGGTAGGGGCTACCGTCGACCTATCCTGCTCCTTCCCCCAACCACTTGGAGGCCGCACGCGCCAATTGACCCTTTTTACTTGAAATTGTTCACTTTTACCTTTCTCTTGCCAAGACTTTCAGTTTAATTGCCGCCACTCCAAATCCTGGACATTAGCTTGACGAATTGTAGAGTCATCATGCACATCTCGCCTCCCACGGAATGCTTGCTCTCCAATACTCTCCAGTCATGTCCCAAACGACAAATTCTCTCATCACTAAAGACACCATCCTGGTACCAACAAGCCGCAATAAATAATTGGCGTCGAGACATAGCCGGTATACTTGTTGTAGTTGGCCATCCTATTTCCATCCCCACGTTATATCCCATCCATCAATCATTTGGATTGGCTTGACGTGGTCGAGATCTTTACACCTTGTCTCTTGTTGATAGGGCATCGAAATCAGTTCATATCCCCCGCGGGGCGTCCGAGTGACTGGGAATTTGATGTACATTCCGTTCTTTGGCATGTCGGCACACAGTGGTATCCCCACAAACCCTTTGATAAATCCCGAGTTGGCCACAATGCCGTCGTATTTCTCGTGAGGCAGAGTCCACGCGCCAATCTCCATCGTCCTCTTGATACGTACATGCACGACCTACTCGGGTCCCGACCTCGGCCGAGTCTTCAACTCTCAAGCCAGAAACAGATGCAAATCCCCGCTCATAACAACTCTGGCATGTGTCCGTGTACCAAATACAAGGAGAAAGGGACTTCAATTATATCAACTCATCTAGCCGGCACTAGTACATGCTATCGTGGAGTCCTTGCAGCCACATCCTGCCTACTAATTGAACCTCACTCAATCAACCTTGAGCTTGGCGACGCTTCGGAGCAGGGGAGTCAACTCAGAAGCCCCCTCAGACGACAGCTCCGTAAGCTCGATGCCCTCGACGGCCTCGGTAGAGAGCGCCGCCACTTCAGCCGCGTCAGCCAGCTCACCCACACCGGGAATCAAGTTGGCAACGACAACAGCGGGAAGCAAGGCAATGGCCAAGATGTGCGACTCCATAAAGTGGCCAACCTTTTCCCAGAAGCCCGGCTCATGCGGCGGCGCCACGGCCTTGGCCGCCTTGGCCGCCGTTGAAGACTCGCCAGTCACTCGCCCAGGCGGGTTGAAAAGAGGGAACCCTCCCCTCCAGCCGACGGCCTGTCCATTTCTATCCATAAACTCCTCCAGAGACTGCGGCAGGTCGAAATTGGGAATCTCGCCGGTACTCGCCAACTCGTCGAACTTGTGCTCGTAATCGTCGTTCTTCTGGAACAAGTTGCTCCCCGGGAACAAGTCGTTCTTGGCTTTGAATGCCCTTTCAAAGTGCTGCTGTATATTTGCTCGCTCCTGGGCATCGTGCTCGGGCAGCGTATAGTTGAGCGGCACCTGAACCCAACCGAGGACCTGCGACCACCGTATGCCGCCGACGGCGATGCTATCCAGCCCCGAGACGAGCATGTTTGGCGTGGCGTGAACGGCATACACGACGCCGTGGAAGCCGTCTGTCGCGTGGGAAGCTTTCCCAGCTGCGTCCTTGGCCGCGGGTCCGAAAATGAGACGAGTCTGGAGGACTTCGCTCGGCCAGTCGACGACCGTGGCGGGATCGGGGGTCGGCCCTCCTTCGACTTCATACGTCGGGCCGGGCGGACGGGTGCGCGGAGGGAGAAATCCGCCTGCCGTCTTGGCCTCTGCCGGCCATAGAAAGTCGCCGTAGAAGACGACCTTGGCCGGAGCCGGGGGTGCCTTGCCCTTGGGCCCCTTGCTGCGGCTTTTGGGGGTGACAATTTTGCGGGCTCGTTTGCAATCCTGCTGGTTTCCCGCGGGAGAAGCTGGGAGGAGAGTCAGCAGTTGCATACATTGTAGTCGAAGGCGTGAACCGGTTCTGTCAAGTGATGAAGGCGCGGCCAAGTCTTTGCATACCTCCGGTCGAGCCATCGTCTCCGTCTTTCGGACCAAATACGCCTTCTTCCAATTTCTTGACAATGGCTGCACAGTTAAGCCCGTCAAATTCGCCGGCTCTCAGACGCTTTAGTTCGTCGAGTGTTATGCCGGCACTCTTGGCAGTAGCCGAGTTTTTACGATTCTGGCGTGTCTGGTCGATGACTAGTCCTCGGATCTTGTAGAGACTCTGGCAACAAATATTCTTCGATTGTCCTACAAAACTGTCAGTTTTCTTACAGTCACTTCTAGCGACATACAAATCTTCCATACCGGCGCGAGCTCGTAGTTGCGTACGGGGACGCTTGGGAGGGGAACAAGTGTCCCTGTCAAGGTTATCCAAAAGCTCTTGGAGCATCTCGTCATAGTCGGGGTAGAGTTGTCGTAGTTGCTCCGGGGTCAAATCTGCGAAGCGCTCCAAGTCTCTCATGACTATGTCGGCGGTTGTTAGCACCCCCCCTGCAAGTGTGCAAAGTATTGCTTTGCCCGTCAAAGGGTTTCCACTGCGTCATCTCGGCGGCTGCGCATGGGCAAGGGCAATTCTTACCTGCGTCACGAATGACATCGTCTTCAGATGATGCCGCGGCTCCTACACCAGATGGTCCAGGGATGTCGTCCCGAGGAGGGTATTGCGTAAAAGTTGGCGGAAAGCGGCCGAAGAGAGCTTGCATTGCCGGGCCACTTACGTGAGTCGCGGCTGAGCGATAACGAGGGTATAGGTCATTGCCTTCTCCGTCGGACTCATCGCTATCCGTATCTTCTCTTGTTACGTCCAGCGAGTCCATCTCGTCCTCGCTCCAATCATCGTCAAGGTCCGGGGGAACATCGTTGTCGACGACACACCTCGCAGCATATTGAGAGTTCTCGTACAGATCCCTATCGTACTCGGGATTGTCTATCCATTGTATCTGTGCGACTCTGCCGCCTTCGGCAGTGCTCATAAGTCCGAACCTTCGAATCTGTCTCCAATGAACGCCGCCCAGCGCTAGAGCCTCAGACTCTGCAAGGCCGGGGTTGATCATGTTGGGCGTAGCACGAATCTCGTAAAGCCAAGTGTTCCTATTTCGATGCTCATGGGTGTAGGTTTCAGATGTGGCCCTCTCTCGAGCCAACGATACGTACGCAGATTGGAAAGGCCTGGTGGACAGATCTCGCGATAAGCCACACCCGCCGGGACCGGCGTGGTAATGGCGATCCATGAGAAATGCTGCTTCATTACGGTGCCAGTTCTCGCCCCAAGGCCGGAACCCCCCAGCCGCTCTGATCTCTTGGGGGGACCTGGTATCTGCACGCCAGACGAACTCACCAGGGGGGTCATCCTGTCGACGAGCAGGTGATGAGTCTGGCAAGACGCCGCCATTGCAGAGCCCAAGCCAAGAGAGCCATAAAGGCGCGGCGGAAAGAGCAATGTTTGCCCACCGCATCCTCAGGTGCAAGAATAAAGATGTTTAACGACTGAATCCAGGCTTGACTGTGAAAAGACTCGTAGCTATGAGAGTTGTGCAATGGTGGACATGATGAAGGCCAAAGAGGGAATATATATACGTAGGATACATCCTAGGAAGCCAAGGGCGGACATGTTAAATCGTCCCAACCTCTGGCATCGGCGTTATAAGCCACAGAATGACCCGTTAATCCGACAATTCCTGCTTGACGGGCCGATATCGCCATTTGTCTAATTTGCGTACGATGGCTGCTGGAGTACAAGGGCCATGATTTCGGCAAATTCGATTCATACAAGCCAGGAACTGTAACAGGGGATAGCGTACGGCCTACGCACGGGCAATTTCCACTCTCAAAGCTCGCTAGAGAAAGCTTATCATCATGCTATTGGATGGTAGTATAGTATTAATGCTACATTATCCTTGTTGCGTAGCTGGATTCGTAAAGCTCTATCTAAATTAGTTGCACTAATTTGTTGTTGCATTCTTGCGTTGCACATGTGGAATGTTCTCCTGTCAAAACAGGCAAGGGACCAAGGAAATGAGCTGATAGAGTACACATACATGATCATTTATGTAATAGTTTCCTTGTGTTCGAACCAAAAGACGCAATGTTCTCCTAGCGCTATATTTGTGCACCGCATACGCGCAGTGGCTACCGTGAAGCGAGTGCGTACTGCACTCACAAACATTGACGACATTTTTCAGAGGAGCCAAAGAGTTCAGTCACACAGAGAGCTTCTTTAGGAAGCATAGGAAGCAAGACAAAATTAACCATGCCTATATCCACCTAGGCCCAAGCCATGGTGGCTACGTCAGCATAGAAGATCCCATCCCAGCTTTTGCATTAGGCTGTGGCTTTGTGCATGCATCGCGGCTTCGTCCCTGAGCTTTGGACCAATCATGTTCAGTTCCTCGAATCATCCAAATATACACGAGCATCGAGAAGATGGAGAAATAAGATGGCAAAGCCTCGATTACACTCGGACTGGCCCCTCAGTATAAATCTATGCGCCATCAAAACGCCCGAGTATTAAGACCCCCTGTCGGCTCTATTCATACACTGTCTTCTAACCCTCTTTTAGTTAGTATATTGACTTTTCGACCGATCGACAGCCGTGTCGCAAATGATCAGCCTTATGCCTCGAGGCCGGATTCCAAATCGTGTACCAAGGATGGTCCATTGGGCAAGGAAGTCTTCTGTGGACACGCCCAACCCCAACTGAGTCGTGGCGGCAATTGATGGGCTATAAGTGCATCCCTTGCTTGATGTTAAGATGGATGGGACAGGGGGGCACCGATTGTATCGCCGAGGAAATTGGGCCCCTAGGCATTAGTAATGCAGGCCATTATTGCCTATGATGGATTGCCTCCCTATAGGCAAGTAAGCTATATCAAGTCCTTTCCCCCATAACCTTGATAGCTGCGAAGTAAGAGATGGGACAAAAAATCACAGACGGAACCATTTCCCAGGTTGCTAGGGCGTATGAAACAAGTGGATCAACAGCCCGGAGGAAAGCAACTTGAATGGAGTAAATATACCGAATAGAGGGTTTCTATTACGCTACTAAATGTGCGTAAACGGGCATTGGAATGCCAAGAGTCTTGATTGTCAACCGGTGCCCCTTCGGACGCTGCCAAACCCCAGACTGAGTAACTCAAATTCAACCGGCTCCATCACCGCGGACTGCGAGACAGATACCCTTCTCCAAATTGCGGAGCCTATGGACTTTTATCATGATCAAGATACATCTTCACGACCAAAGGTGGGAAGTTGAGCGTGGAAATTTCCTCGATGCCCGTCAAACGTGATATATAATAAGGTGGGAAAGTATAAATCGAGAACAGGCATTATTATTAACCAACTATTCGTATTCGTTTGATCTGTCACATTTACTGCCGAAAGATCCAGAAATACGAGCCGGAGCCGGAGCCGGAGGAGCCGAATCAGCGCAGGGATCCCAGTGAGCCGACGCTACCAGACAGGAAGAATTCTAAACTGCTCGTGGCCCTGGACAAGCTTCACAATTACAAAGCAGACATTATGAGAATGAAGTTGAAACGCCCAAAGATCTCCATGGCTTGATTGAATCCCTGCCGTCTGTCCTGCCACGACCAAGCGCGTTGGGACCCTGCAGATTTTCGGCCCCAAACCCATGGAGACCCCGTCTTGATGGCCAGGATATCCATGCCGCAGCAGAGGCTTCCCCCTAGATTACGCCGAACAACGCAATTTGGCATATGGATTATTGGTTCTCGGACTGTGGGAAGCTTGGCGACGGGCAATGAGTCAAACGGCATTCCTGACGGGGCGACTGCCGAGCTATCGGACACGAACCAACCGGGAGACGTTAGTCCGGGGTCCCTGAGGCGACAGGCCGGCCCCCGTGTGAACAAAGGTGAGGCATTTTAGCACTTTCTACAGCCCTGTGAGTTTGGAGATTTAGACATTGATACCCATGCCCTCGAGGCCCGGGCTAGGAGCTATCGTGTGACGGCTGGGCTGCCCAATCCATCTCACTTGCCGCTTTGCTATTGTGAACCTTTACTTTTGGAAATCTCTGAGAAGACTGCTTGCATGTATTAACAGACGAAGTCTTTGATGGGTTTTTGAGCGAAAATGAACGTTTTTGCAAAGCCAGTCATAGTAAGCAGTCAGGCATTATGTGACAAGGCCCAGGTGCTGCTGTGCAATAGTACCAACGGTTAAAACGAAATAAGTCATCCGTCTCGTGTCACAATTCAATTTCCTTGTGAGTCAGCTCTGCTCATATATTTAAGAATGCCAAGAGCAATAAGAATACACTTACAAGCTGGATTTAGGGGCGATTTGGCCCGTGATCGGTATTACTGGATTCTTTTGCCCTACAGCTCAATGGACAAACCAGACGACTACTGTGGCAAGGGGGTTTCATTGAAGGGATATCTTTTAACAAGTACATGCCGCAGGTTTCTGTTCGTCATACTTTAACTCAAGAATAATGCATTTCAGATCCAACTAGACGCATTATCTAGTTTCGCCCTACTCACAGGGTATTATGACACGTCTCTGAATGTAATTGCCGCACCCGAGACTTGAATTGGGATAAATTTGGGTGTTCATGGCATATATCAACAGAGTGTTCAATGCGCCTAGCAATCGATTATAACATAAGCAAGCAGATATGAATAATGGCAGCTCGATATTACCCGTGAGGATTTTCCGCACTCCGAACAGCGTACAGATATCTGCAGGGCACCAGCAGAGCGCATTCTTGTCCTTGTTTCTATTACAATGAAGAAAACGAACCCGCTCTTGAAAGCTAGCTCTTTCCCATCCCCTAGAATGGTGCCTTTGCCAGAAACCGCAATCGACACAGTTGGCCTCTTGTGATTCCAAATTGATTCCTCCTCCCCAGCCAGCATGTCACTTCGAATCAAGTCAAATCCATCAGTAGGCGGCTGATACACCAGAGTACCAACATCAGATTATCCAGCCGAGTACCCGAATCCATTCAAGGAGTGTCGGAGAAGAGATAGATGCCGTTTGTAACGGCTAAGGTTCCTAAGGGATAAACTAGTTGTAGTTTATATTAGTAAAGCTATTAGGGCAATTAATCTAAGTAGTTAAGTATTATATTAATAATAGGTTATAAATTATAATTAAGTAATTAGAGTTAAAAAGTTATAAGTAAAGCTTATTTAATATAATAATTAATATTAAAAACTAAGAAATTAAAGT